CGCTCCCCCTTGGGGAGCTTCTCTGCCATGCTCAAGCCTCTCCTCCCGTCTCCCATCTTGTCTGCGTACCTGTCACTAGTGTGCAGTGGCTCAGGCACATTCTGCAAGGTTTCCTGTGCTGAGGTTTAGTCCTCACTGGGGAGTATCAAAGCAGGTAGAAACTTAGTATGACAATGGCATGGGGAGGTGGGTGGGCCTCTGGAGGGAATCAGGTTGAGTAAGATCAGGAGGAAGAGCCCCAGTATAGAACCCTCGTGGCTTGGAAGAAGAGGAAGAGACCAGACACCATGCATGCACACACATGCATGTTCCCTGACTTTACATTAAATTTCATATATATTCACGAACCAGTTTTTCCATCGCCTCCCCAGCAACATAAAATCCATGAAAACGAAACTTTGCCTTGTTCGCAGTCATATCCCATGTCAGGATAGGCCACGTCAGGACAGTGCCTGGCACATACAAGACACGCTGTTAAAGGACTTTTGAATGAAGGAACAAATAGACAAAGGTATGAACAAAAGCGGGCAGACCAGTTGGGAGCTGAGGAGAGGGGCGAGGTAAAAGGTAAGGAGAGACTGACTATGAGGGGTCATCTCCTGCGTCAGCCTGGCTGGACTACGGTGCCCAGGCATTTGCCGAGCATTATTCTGGATGTTTCTGCATGGTGAGATTTGGATGAGATGTATAGGTGAATCAGTAGACTTTGAGTAAAGCAGGTTACAATCTTAGTAGGCCACATGCACCTGTGGAAAGCTTGAGGCAAACAAGACGACTTCCCAGGCAGGAGAGAACTGTGCCAGCGGACAGCCTGCAAACCCGGACTGCGGCCGCAGGTCTTCTCGGGCACCCAGCGCGCAGGCCCACACTGCAGATTTTGGACTTGCCGTCACTGTAGTTCCTTAAGTTTCTGTCTCTGTCTCTCTCTTACTTTATTGGCTCCATTTCTCTGGAGAACACTGACTACTTTACTAGGACCTTGGGCAGTTTTGTAGGGATGGCAAAGTGAAGAAAGATGTGGGACGCTAGGAAGGCCTGGGAGGAAGCAGCACACCGCGGGACCTGGCACCGGAGACTGGGCCCTTGTGGGGCCACAAACCAGGCCCAAAAGCTGTCATTCCTTTGCTTGCTCACACCTTGGTCTGTCCCAGCACCTGCTCCCAGTACAAGTACCCAAGAGCCAGGGTGATGGAGGATTTCGCAGATTACCCAGAAGCTTGCTTCAGGTTGGTAGTTACTTATACTGCTGTTATGTCTTTGCAAGAGTCCAATTTTCTTGATTTTTGTTGCAGCTCAGAATAACTGAGGAAGCTTTCAAAGGCTCAGTCAGTATGGGAACACTGGAGATAAGAAGCTGGCCAAAGATGCCCTCTTCCTAGCTGTGGCCTTTCCTTGTCACTGTTTGGAGGTGCCCTGTCTCCTCACAGGCAGTGAGGCCACCCTTCTCCCTCAGCTGCGCTGCTGCTGTCGGGCTTGGTTTCCTCCCCACAGGAAATAGATCGGCCAGGCTGTGGGTGTGTTATGATGGTATCTAAGTAATGGTGGCCCGGAACTTTGGAAAAGCAAAAGGCCCCCTGAATTATTATCATTAGTTCTCCTTCAGAAGTACAAAGAAAATGATCCTATCTCGTTGGAGTGGTGTGGGTTGCACCAGCTAGATTGCCACAGATGAGAGGCTTGACCCCATGCAGAAGAGATCTTTAACAAGTGAAAATTCCAACATTTCTCTAATGTGTAGCTTACAGGGCATTTTAAAATGCACTGTGCATCACAGCTTCCCAGGTATACTTTGAAGCAGATTATTTTGGAGTACCAGATGTACAGAAAAATAAACTGGGATCAGAGATAATAAACAACCTTCCCAAATTCTGTACTTTGTAATTTATAAAAAGAGTTCAAACCTGTATCTTCTGGTTTCTAATCTTGAGCACTGTAAGCCAGCTGGTTCCAAACATCAGAAATAGGACAAAACTATGTAAGAATGAATCACTCATGGCATTTGTTAAAAATACAAATTCCAGGTTTCAGTTCCAAAAGGTTCTGATTCAATAGGTGTTGATATCCCCAAATTGATGTATTTATAAAATGCCCTATGAAATAGTCTGTGCAACCAGATACACACTGCATATCAGAGGGTGTAAAATGTAGTAGGTGAAGTTAGTCATTTACCTTGCTAGTAAACTGTGCTGAGTATAAGATCATAACAAGGAACGAAACGGACATAATTTTTACTCTGATGGAACTTTTACTCTTATAAGCAAAATAAATATGCACAATAATCATACAAGTAAACAGATATTTAAACACTGATTAACATTTAGGGGAGGAGGAAAAATGGACAATGAGAAGTTGAAAAATCCGACATTTAAGTGTCATTAAACAAGAATCCTGCAAAGTGGAGATGGCCAACTGGATCAAACAGGGAGGATGGGGTGTGGGACAGCGCATAGACGTGTGGCCCTGGCCACCCTTGGCAGAAATGACTGTGATCTGGAAACTGAGGAGGAGACAGGCAGTTAGGACTGGTGGTGGCAGGTGACTCAAGGCCAGCGTATCGTGGGAAGAGGTTTGGATTCTAAGCCAGAGGAGAAGCCTGTGGTGGAACACGTCAATGTTGAATGAGGAACTGGGGGCTCACCTACAGCAGCATCCAGGTGAGAGATAATGATGGTTTAAGTAGAGGTAGAAGGAAGTGGAAAATTAAAGAAAGATTTTGATGGGAGAATAAACAGGGTTTGGGCATTAAATGGAGAAGGTATCCAGAATGATTTCTGCCATTAGTACCTGGGTGGCTAGATGAGCCGGGGGCCACTTTGAATTCCTTTGTCAGTGTGGAGAAGGAACTTATTTACTTAGTTCCTGACAGGTTGAAAGGCGTGTGAGACGTTCACCAGTGGATATGTCAAGCCTTGGCTGGAGAGATGGTGCCCACAGCTGTCCAAGTGGGTGAGGGCACTTGGGCAGCAAGCACATGTAAGAAGCAGACAGCCCCAGTGGAGCCAAGGCAGGAGATAGGCAGGAGGCCCCGGGCTCAGTGCCCCTGCTTCCTGGTCCACAGAGGTCACAGTAAAGGGAAGGTGACAACATCACTCCTTATGGTTGTGTCAGTTCGTGATCATTGTCTGGTACTCTAAGTTTCTCAAGGGCGAAGGATAGTTCCTTTTTCTTACTCAGTTTCCCATAATGCTTTCCATGTTTTAAGTGAAATTTGGTACTCACGTAAGAAACATAACAACCCACAACGAGTCATTGTATCCAGGTGAATCGGGCACCTCACTGTCACTAAGGAACTCAGTCACCACTGGGCACAGCAGACCTGGACTCTTAGAACTGGTTCTCAAAACATGGCAAGCACTGTGGCCTCCAAGAAGCAGCCCTGAGACCAAGTCACACAGGTCACAACACAGCCCCGAAGAGCCAGCACACAGCAAGCTGCACACCCACCACATCTTTACAAGCAGAAAATTTGCTTTCGGGTCCATTTTGCCAGTCTTTGCTGTGATTCGTGTACTATACACAACTTAATAATTCCTTCCCTCCCTACGTTAGTGTCATATAGACAGACTCTTGCACTTTCTTCAAAAATTTTAAAGAGTTTTTTATTTAGTTCACTTGGAATTTATTTTTGAAAATATGGTGAAGCAGGGAAATAATTTTGATTATTTGTGTGTGGATATTGTGGGTCATGTGCCCTCTTAGGACTATTTATTGAGGGTTTTTTTCCCTTCTGATTTGCCATATTGGACATTTATTCATTCAACCCTGGATTAAGAACCAACTATGTCAGGTGCAGTGGTGCAGGCTTATAATCATAGTTCCTTGGGAGGCTCTCTTAGTGAGACCTTATGTTAATATAAAGGGAAAAGACTGGGGATGTAGCTCTATTGTAGAATGCTTGCCCAGCAAGGGCAAGGCCCTGATTTCATCACCAGCATCATAATAAAACTACATAAAGAGAATATGTCAGGTGCTGTTCACATCACTGGGGAAAAGATTGAAGCAGAAGAGGCGATCCAGGCATCATTGCTGAACCCAAAAGGATTTAGTCAAGCATTTGCAGCACACCTTAGATCCACTCTGTAACAATATAATAAACACAGCAATAAGCATGCATTCTGATATCTTAGCTCATGTGGGTAGTCCCAGTTCCAGGACATCTCCTAAGTGCTCCTCACGCCAGGATGGCCTCTGTTTCTGTTTCTTTGCTTTTCACATCACTTATCTTAAGCAGTGTCTGCTGTAACATGGCATCATTGCCTGTTTACGTGTCTACCCTAGCAGTAAGGGAAATACCTTGCCTTGTTTATTACAGATCTTGAACTGGGCTTTGTTCAGACTACTATCTGTTAAATAAATTTAGATGTAGCGCTTTGGTCATCTGAGTTTCACTTCCGAGATGCCCACTACATTGCCAGGAAGAAAGCAGTCGTACTGTTGGCTGGATGCAAATTCACATAGAATCTAGGAGATAATAGGAAGAGAAAACTTACACGCACACGCACACGCACACACACACACACAAGCACTTAGTTCCTGTGTGTGCATGTGTGTGGTACTGGGGAATTAAACCCAGGGCTTCAATCTGAGCTACATCCACAACCCTGTTCTACTTCTTATTTTGAAACAGGATCTCACTAAATCACAAAGTTGCGAGGCTGGGCTCCAACTTTCAAACTTCCTGCCTCAGCCTTCTAGAGAGCTGGGATTGTAGGCTGAAGTACCATGCCTGGTTCTAAATTATTTTTTTCTCTTAAAATTTTTTATCAGTGCATATCTGTAGCACATGATGATCACATTTGTTGTGGGGAGGTGGTCCGTGAACATAACACTTTTCAATGCTTTCTCCACCTTTCCCCTCCCATTCCCCCCTTCCCACCTTCTCTTGGTCTTCTTCCCATCTGCAAAAAAATATTTACCTCCCTGTTTCCTATTATCTGCCATTTATTAAATTGCTCTTTAATTTATTTCTACTTTGGGTTTCTCATATAAAAGAAACCATGTGCAATTTAAGCTTGTATGATTTATTTCACTTCCAAGTTCTTTTTTAAAAATGCACTTCGGCAAAGCCAAGCTCAAGAAGACAGGAAGTCCAGCAGGAGAGCATTGTAGATAGGAGGGCAGCAGAGAGGCGTCCTCACGCACTGCTGGGTGGAGACAGCTCTGTGGTAGAAAGGCAAGAAGGAGTCCATGAGATGCTTGGAAAGTGTCGGGAACAGGAACCCACTGGGAGCACGTGTTTGAGGTGATCCTATCTAATCTTGACAAGAGTGCTTAAAAATAAATCTTACAAATGAATAAATAAATAAGTCTTTCCATTTGCACAGATGGAGAAATGGGTTTGGAAGTGCAGACTTGTCCAAGTTGTCCCCTTGCCTGGAGCTGGTCAGTGACGGACCACAGATCCATTCCCAGAACACAAATAAGTCCAGGCAGGAAAGCTCCTCCAGAGCTCTGCAGAATGCTTCCTCTGCACTGTCCCCCGTGTCTCATGTCTGGCTCCGGCCCCTTCTGTGCCAGGTCCTCCCATCTGAGCTCGGCCAGCCCCAGCTCTGCCTCTGTCTCGTGTGTACAACTAACACTTGGGTGCTTGTCCTTCTATGTTTCTTCCTAGGCAGACACAAGCAAATTTCTTTTTAAAATAAATGGTATCATACCAGGAGTGATGGTGTCTGCCTATAATTGAGTACTCAGGAGGCTGAGACAGGAGGATTGTTGTGAGTTTGAGGCCAGCGTGGGCTACACAGAGTGTTTAAGCTCACTTAAACACACTACTTGGTGAGACCTTGTGTCACTAAAATAAAATAAAATAGTATCATAGGGTACATCTGTACTCTCCCTCTTGTCTCTGCACATCTACTGAGGTTGTTCAAAATCATTTCCCCTTCAAATTTAGGAAATCTGCTCTCCCATGGCATAGACTGCCATCATTCGTCTAATTTTCTTTATATTTCTGTATGGTTGTTTACCAGCATTTTATCACCTCCATCCTGAGCAATGTCTTTTTCAGAGGTCTTATTATTCTATCCTGTAAAGATGGCCAATGGAGGACCTGAAAGCGAATCCTTTGCACTAGCCCTGCAGATGGGCTTGACTGCCGCTATTCAGGAATAATACTCAAGACTCCAAAATTGCTCATCACTGGGCATTGCCCTTGGCCACAGAGGGCTACCCTGCTTTCACCGAGCCAGAGCTGGGGTCAGTGCCTGGTACAAACAAGGTAGACAGCTCTGCAGGGTAGCACAGGGGCAGAGCTCTGTAGGCCTCAGGGGCAATAAGACTGTGGTCCAGCTCCTCCCTGCAGGCCTTCTGTCCTCCTTTCTTACAGTGCTCCTTCTGAGAGCACGTCCTACACACCTGCACACGGTCCCAGGCCACAGCAAGTGTCCTGGGGGCCAGTGTGAGCTACAAATGCTTTGGAAATCAGTCGCATCTATTTTTAAGCAGTATCCTCCTTATGTTCCACTTTTGTTCCTCACAGTTACCAATACCTGATGTATATTTATGAGTTTATTCATTATCTGGTTTTCTGTGGCTAGAGTGCACATAGGGACCCCGCTTTGTTCTCTGTGTTATCTCCAGCATCTAAAACAATGCCTGGCACTAACAGTTAAACATGATCAGGGGAATTGTGAAGAGGGAAGTAAACAAGCCCCTCTCCTTGGTGACAGACATGCTTGTGACAGGGTGAAGCTGTTCTAGTCCAGCCCCATCGCCAGCAGTAACTTTGGGTAAGTCTGTAAACCTATGTGAACCTCAGTTTCCTCATCTACAAAATAAAGCAAGTAATAAGACCTACCTCACAGGAGCTTTGTGGTAATTAGAGAATATCTGCAGAGCCTAAGAAAAAAAGCCTACCCTAGAATTGCTAGATAACTGCTGTAATTCTAAACCAATCTCTCCAAAAAAGTAATTTAAAAAATATAATTCTAAAATATTTTATACACCATTGAGTTAAAGTGCTTGGAAAAAATGTAGTTAGACAATGACTATCTCTCCAGCCAGCTGCTAGGATATTTTCTCTAATTATAACATAGAGCTCATTAGCTTTTCTGCAGTATTCAGTCCAGGACATTAAAGTCCACTGGACAAATTACCTCCTGCGTTCACCAGGATACAGTCTCCCACCTGGGCAGCTGGAGCTCTTGAGATGCATCATCATTATTGTATTCCACAACCCAGGAAAGCTGGAACATTGGAGAGCTGATTTTAAAGGGCAGGCAACACAGAACTAGGAATATGCAAAGAAGGCTTGGATTCAAGTCACAGTCCCTTCATCTGCTGGCCATGGCATCTTGGACAGGTCATGTATCCATCCATTCGTCTATTCATTCATCCATTGACCCCTCTATCTACACAGCCACCATCCATCTGTAGGGGTAGGGTCCAGCAGACGTAAAAAATAAAACAACATAGGGGTTCCCTTAGGTCTTCTAGCTAAGACCAGAAAGAGTTAAAAATAAACTTTACTAGAGAGATTCCCCTGGGAAGCAGGAAAAGGATGGGAATAGAAAAAGAAAAAGCAGATAAAGAATGCCACCAAGCTAAATGTGGTGGCACATGCCTGTAATTCCAGTGCTTCGGCTGTGAAAAGAAATGTGAGAGCCTCTTCTGTGAACTTTGACTTGTGCCACCTTTTGAGCCTGCAGTCCCTGCTGGAGGTGCACATCCTGGAGAAACTCACAGCTCATGACAGATGCTGCATGGCATGGCAGCAGCGCTGCTTGTTGCATCAGGAAGACTGGATTGACCCTCCTGCTTGCCCACTTGAGGGCAGAACAGCGTCCTGAGGGAGACCCGTGAGCCAGCTGCTCCCGCCTCTCCCTGCCCACTTTTGCAGCAGTGGCCTGTGGAGCCGTTTCCTGCACAGCTGCCCCTGAGGCCGTGCTCCTACCATACAGGAGGCTGCGGGCTGGCTTCCCGCCCCTAGGTGGTCTTGGCCATGGCCTCCAGGGCTCCCAGGCAGAGTGGTAAATCCTTCGCTCCAGTCAGCCTTGGCAGGGATCAGAGGTTCCAGCAGCCACAGCCGGGTAATTAGAAGCGTCCAGCAGTCACTCTCAGCCACTTTAACCACGGCCCAGACTCTCATGTCTTTCTGAAGGTTTTGTAAATATTTTATTTCCTATATTAAATTCTCGGCCGCAGAAATACTTACAGTAGTTTCTGTTTCCCTCACTGACTCTTCGCTGCTGTGACATATGAATAAAAACACTGGCAGCATCACTGATGACCACAGAACAAGGACAAAAGTAGTCATAATGCCAGATAACACGACCGAGTACACCCTGTTCCTGGCATTGCTTCTGCTCCTTGCAACAACCTTAGAGTTAGGGACTATTATTAACTCTATTTATATCTGAAGAAACTGAGGCAGGCAGATTTCCCGACCCACTAGTAAAGGTGGATTAAGCCTGAAGTGTCCTGATGGCATAGTAACAGTGGCCAGGAAGGTGACTTCTGGGTCTCTTCTCCGTTCCCCCACCTGGCCCAGGAGTTTCTGACCACTGACTGTCTTTAACATCAGCCACAAGAAGGGAACAGGTACACTTCGATCAAAGAAAACACAACCCCATCATCATGACTCATATGCAGTCTCCTCTCAGAACCTGTACTGCAGAACTGGCTCAGCAAGCTCGAGCTAAGATCAGATTAAAACTGGGCGAGAGCAAACTCTGCCTATTGACAGAAGGAAGAATCACAGGCTGTTCTGTGCTTCTGGAAGCCACCAGAGATGAGATCTGGGGTTCACCTGGGCTGAGTCAGGGACAGAGGTCTCGGGGAGAACACAAGGTTGTTTGTTGTTTATTTTGATTTTAATCTTACTCCTGAATCATCACCGGTCTTCAAGGACGAGGGTGAAGCTGGCTGTTGTAACTGCTACTGTTGATCATGAACTGGGTGGGGGAAAGCAGGACTTTTGTTCCGGGTGAGTGCGTCTAGAGGAACTTGAAAGGATACCTCACATTAGACCGACTCAGCAGGGTCTGGGCAGGCAGGCATAGAATGGGGCCCCAAGTGGGTCCCAACATGGGTTATCAGGAGTGCCGGCCAGTCAGAGAGGGCATTGCTGGGCTGGTGAAGCTGAACTGATTTGGGGCTCTCTCCTTCCCCACCCCTAGCAGAACTGACCCCAGATTATAGGGGAGGGCACAGACTGGGGCACGAAGTGGGAAAGTGCTGAGTGGCCTCAAGCTTCGAAGGTCAGGGCCACCTGGAGAACCAGCCTAGACCTTTGGTGACACTGCATACCTACCTGGCCTCTCTGGAGGGCCACTGCTCCGTGACAAGTCCTTTCACCTAAGAACCAGGTGCCTCGTATCTCTGCCTCTAGAGTCATGCGATTCCTCCCTGGCCCCAGCTGTCCGCAGCAGTCTCCAGGGCCTTTCAAGCTGCCCTCTGCACTCTCCTGCCTCTTGTGTTTTTCTCTTATTACTAAAGTCATGTATGCCAATCACAAGAATTGAGAAAACAGAGAACCATGCCGAGGTGAGCTTCTTGTCCTCTGATATAGCCTGGGATCTGCTCAGCAGGCTCGGGAGGGGGAGAAGCAGATCCTGATCCTCACCTTTGGAAGCCAAGGAACACCCTGCTTCACCTTGGGGGCACATGCCACCAGCCCCCCCCCCCCCCCGGACTGAACTAATGAGCACTGGCAGAGCAGACAGTGGCTTCTCCCTCCCTGGCTGGCAACAGACCTCCCCACCCTAGTGGAGTGGTCAGGTTGCACCTGTGTGCTTGGCGAGGGGAGAGCCAGACTGTTGTGGAATGCAGGAAATGAGAGAATTTGTGAACACTGTCACACTCCTGCTGGGCTCCGTAGGGCTCTGGAAGCCAGTCTGAGCCTCTCCAGGGGAAACAGGAAGAGCAGTGGGAGGGGCCGCTGCCCTGGCTGCCTGGGACCCTCGGACCCTGACAGTGCTTCCTTGCATTAAGCACGGCCTTCCGCCCTCCCTCTCTTTCTCCTTCTTCCTCTTTTTTCAAGACATAATTGACACATGAGCAAAGTCACCATTTTAAAGTGCGGTTTTCAGTGTGTCCAACAGTTTTTAGCGTATTTACCAGAGTGTGCAGCCACCACTCTCCACTGCCTCATCCCTGACCGAGAGCCTGGCAGGTAATAACTTGCTGTTTCTGGGCTTTTATGTTCTGCACGTGTGTATGGCTCGCAGGACATGGCCTTGTGCGCCTGGTTTCTTCACTGAGCATGTTTTTACGGTTCACCCGTTTTGCTGCATGGTCAGTAATTAACAGCTTTTTGTGACAGAACAGAGTATCTATTCCATGCACAGTCCACCTTTTATTTCTCTGTTCAGCAGCTGACCACTAATTAGGTGGTTTTTGTGCTCGATTTAGTGAGGGAATTCTTCTAAACAGAAATTTCTGCTTAAACAAAAGCCCAAGCAGCCCTAGCTCCAAACTCCCATTTTAGGGTTTGTAAATGGTGGCTGTCAAAGGCCAGAATTGCTGTTTATGAGAAGCGCATGCACGCTACTCTCGGGAATGGTGCCACGCCTGTCTTTGCATGCGTGTAGTGCATGGCACTGCATGACGTGTGTTTTGCACTGTTGTCTGCCTGGGAGCTTCCTCCCCCGCTGCTTGGTCACATCCTGCGCTCGGTTTCACTGGGGAAGCTGCTGGTTGGCATTGCAGAGCTCCTGCTATACGGCCCACCCTCTCGGCCAGCCCAGAGGGACCCACACAGCACACGGAGCACAGCAGAGTCACGGGGTGCCCAAGACCGGAGGTGGGGGTGCCACACCCGAGCGGCCAGCGCAGTCTTTTCAGGTCTGCAGCAATGGGAAGAGCCCCTAGAACTCAACTGTTACTTCAGCCCCTGCTGTTCTCCATCTGAGTCCGGGCCCAGAGCGCCAGGCACATTCACGGGTGGCTCCCTGCCCCCTGCTCCTGCTGGGTGAGAAGCCAGCACAGGTTGGCAGCTGTCTCCGGCTGCTCTTGGCACCCTTGTCTGAGGCATATCCTCTCCCGGGCCTCTGGTTACAGAGATACCACTCATGTCAATAACAGAGCCATTTCACTGCCCCTTCAGGTCGCCCAGGCACCTCTGCCAGTCTGAAGAGAATGGTACCTTTGTCTGCTTTTCATTTGCATTTATTTTCCCTACCTGAAGCTCCCACAGAAAAGAACCTAAGGTGATAATGAAAATGTTTGAGCAGTTCCTCCTTCAACCAACCCCCTAACAGTGATAAAAATACTCAGGATAGAAGTGGGAACGTTACTGAAGCCTCATAATTACCTTGTTATGTTGCACTTTTGATTAGAAAATCTAATTTGCTTATAGTGTCATGTCACCTTCGTGTTTTGGGGAAACTGCAAGAGAATGCATTTTCTGGAATGAGCTCCCTTGTTAATCAGTAAGTTTCTCAAATGCTCATGCTCTTAAGCTAATGAGCTGCTGCTACCTGGAGGTGCATGGTGAAGCCAGCTTTCCATCACTGTGACAAAATACTCAAGGCAACCAACTTATAAAGGAGAAAGGTTTGTTTTGGTTCCCAGATTCAGTTCATGGTCACTTTCTCTCACTTTGGACCTGTAGTCAGACAAGAGCATGTTGCAAAAGGGGAAATCATGTAAAAGCCTGCTGAGGTGGGGACTCCATAGGCCAGAATCAAAGGAACTGAGTGTGCAAGTGTCAGTGAGCATAGAGACTAGAGAAGTGCATGGAGCACACAGTGAGGGGTTTTGAAAAGTGGGTGGGATCTGGCTCAAAGTTTTCTATGCTTAAGTTTTAGACATGGTACAGAAAGCTCAGTGTGTCATTGAAGTTTTAGGAAGAGAAATTACATACTTATATTTGTGTTTCATTAAAAACAATATCCCTCTGCTGGTCATACTGGTGCAAGCCTGAAATCCCAGCAGTCAGAAGGCTGAGGCAGGAGGATCACTGAGAGTTTGAGGGCTGCCTGAATTGCATAAGGAGATCCTGTGACAAACCAACCAACCCACCCATCCCTCTGGCTGCAGTGTGGAGTAGATGGAGGCTGCAGTATGGAGAGATGAACTGCTTTTGAAATACAAGATATGATCCTTATGAAGTTCCTTTTGTCAGGCCTGGCCATAATGGGAAGATAACCATCTGGCGCAGAATTCCTATCCATAGGTCCATTGCTCTTCTTGTTCGGGTAACACACACAACACCCTGGTTCATCTCGCATTAGGACACAGCACGACACAGGAGTTACAAGCATAGGGTTCCCTTGGGTGCACCCATAGGGAAGGCAGCACAAGAGTTTACCACAAGAGTGACCCAGGAGCACTGGACAGGAATGTGGAGACCATGACTTTACAGTCTCAGCCTGACTGGCTCTGTGATGTCTGTCTCATCTTTGGGTATCAGTTTCCCCCTCTAAAAATGAGGAGACTGGACTAACTTGGCCCTTAGGGTCCTTCGAGCTCTGAGGTCTGTCAGGGAGCTGGCTTAGAATCACAGAACTCTAGGGGAGCCCTGCTGTTTCTGGCTGCATAATCCTGGATCACCTAAGCCCTCCAAGACTGCATTTAAAAGTGGAGAAAAGAATATTGTTTTGGCAAGGTTACTGCAGGGGTTAGTGTGCAAAGCACTTAGCATTGTACCCCTAAATAAAGACTAACTGGTTATAAAAGAACTTCAAAAATGAAAATGATTGCATGGCATTGACATGGAACAAGAAAATGCACCTTCTAGATCACGGGATGTCAAGAAAGCAAAAGAATGAATGCATTAATAGTATTAACCAAGTCAGCCCTAAGTGCAGTCTTTCCGACTCAGCCTAGCCTTTCAGGTCTGCAATCACGGTGCTAAAACAGTGCGGCAGAGCGCCATCTAGTGGCAGCACATTTGACAGTTCCAATCAGACTGAAGAACAAATGTGGCCTGTAGCAGGTCCTACAGATAAACACAAAAGATTTGGGGGTTTGTTCATCTTGGATAAATCTAATATTGAAGCTAATAAAGTCTCAATTATATCACTTATAATAGTAATTTCTTAGTCAACTTTTCCATTAAAGTCATGTTCTGAGCATTTATATAAGATCTTGCAGTTCTAAAAGAGAAAAAATTACATTTTAAATTAAAATGTAAATTATACTGAACATTTGAATTGCACATAAAATCTTTAGGGTGGTTCTGTATGAAATGAAATTAACTTTGAATCAAGCAAAAGGACTGCACGACAGCACCTTGTGAAGCAGAGCCCCTGGTGGCAGACCTCAGCGTGTTCCCTCCCACGGAGCCGCAGCTCCCCGGAACCTTCCCAGGTCTTCCCCAGCTTGAACACTCTACGATCTGAGGAGGGGATTATTCTCTTTCTTTTAATGTTAGGGGTCTGCTTTCAAAGAAACTTGATGCCAGTTTCCCTCTATGAATGGGAGTGCATAAGCACAGTAGTTTAAAGCCATTTAATGAAGTGATTATGAAGTTTATACAACCAACCCACCTCGAGTGGATGTGGTGTGACCTTTCTAGCGTGGACAGTGCAGAAGCAGCTGTCTGGTCAGGACTCCATCCAGCAGTTCCCTTGGCGTCCAGGGACCCTCCTTGGTGGTTCTTTGCAAGGGCATGTGGTCCAGCCAAGCCAAGCCAGCTGTCAGGTGTGTACACGTCTCTCCGTTCTTCCTTTTTCACCCTGTCCTCAGCTGGGATCATGAGCTTCTAGTAGTCAGGAGAGGGCTTGAATTACCTATTGGAGATGAGCTGCACACATGTACCGACTTACAGTGAGCAAAGGCACCATAAATGTGGGGTGACTGTCACCAGCAAGCTTTGATTGTCTGGATCCACTGTCCAACTTTGAAGCCAGAATTCAACTTAAGGTACTGCCTAAAAGCAAACTCAACTTTAATCTCAACTAACAGCATTACAGCAAATACCTTCTGAGTGGGAGAACTAAGAGGATGAAAGCAAGGGAAGGTTCAGTCCAGCAGTCATCTGCAAACAGGAAGAGGTTTGCGGAGGGCCTTGTCAGCAGCTTCGTTACACAGAGGGCGTCTGAGGTATACATCTAAAGGTAGTTACCAGGGGGTGCAGAGGGCACAGTGACTGTAGGCCAGAGGTGTGCAAAGGACGGAAGCGGCACTGTCACTGAGCCAGATGAAACGAACTACGCAATTCACTTGCTTTTTGAAACTTTCCAATTCTTCTAGCTTTTGGGGTGACCCTGTTGATGGGGCTGGGGTGGGAAGAAAATCTAAGAACTGATTTCAAGCTTTTGATAGCTGGAAAAATATGGAAGACCAAAATAAATATTGTTTAGCTATATTTTTTTGAACACTGAAGACATTGATAACTCATTTTTTAAAGCTAGCATTCCATGGGTAGATAACTGAGAATCAGTGATGTAGAAAAATATCAGCAAAATAAAGGAAACCCATTAAGGGTACAACAGGATTGTGAGTCAGGACTGGCTTCCAAAGCCACAGGTCAAGGGCCAAACTGCCTGTGAACAGAAAATTAAAGTCAATGCTTAATTTGCAAGATGCTGAAATAACTCAATAGAACAAATTTGTTGTAAGATAGGTAACTACCTCACGGGGTGAAACTCTCAGGATCCCTCTATATTCTGCCAACTAAATTACTACCATGTGGGGTACCTTTCAAACTTGTTCTGTAAAGAAGATGAACATGCCTGCTTGCACTACAATTAGTTTATAGGAATTTTTAAAATGCTTTCCAGATACTAACAAAATGTAAGAGTACAAAGTTCTTGATCTAAAAACAGATTCTAGGAACTCATTGTAAAAGTATTGATAGCAGGTTTTAAAATGTAGTACTTTTAATAGAGAAAGAGAACCAGCTAAGGTTCCGTTGTAAACTGATTTGTACTGTACAAATCTGTACTGTACAAACTACTGCTGAACGAAGCGAGCTCCACATGCTGATAGAAACTAGAGTCCTGGAGAAACCCGTCCCGGCTCTTGGGTGTCCTGCACAGAAGGCAGTGGACGTGTACTCCTGAAGGTGGAAAGGCAGCACGCTCCACAGAGGGACATGGAGCAGTGCAGGGCTCCAGGCAGCCACCAGGGAGGGGAAGCCATCTTTTCCATCTGGAATTTCTGCATTGGCTTCCCCTGCAATTTGGGCACTGCAAGTGTGTTGTTAAAAACTGACGGGGCCTGGTACTAGGTGTAAACTGTCCTGTGGAAGGCTGGCTTCATTTCACTTCAGATGCAAATAAAGTGAAGGTAGCACTTTTTTTGCTGTTCTGAGTCCAGTGCTCAGGGATACAGTCATCGTTGAGCCTATGCTCAGCACATGTGCCCAGGCCTCATGGCTTCGACAGATTCATTCACCCCAGCCCTAATCTACCTAAGACGAACGTTCTTAGTATCCTGTTTTTAACTGTATGGGCTTCATTTACAGTAGAACAAAGACTGGAACAAAATCAGCTAATTAGTTAATAATGATTCTAACGTGAGATTTTCACTTTACACTTTCTACAGCTTAACTGTTAGTTGGCTGAATGTCTGCCGTTTCTCTAATCATGGAAGTCAAACGCATTTACAGTATAACCAATTCCAAGCTGTACTGTACATCTTGGCTATTCATGCTGTTTCCCTCCTTCACACTGGTTAAAAAAAGGCTTCCCTGGGAAGCTTTACTCATTTTGTGTTCCCTTCAGTGCTCAACAAATGCTTATGGCATTAATGTGTTTTTTTCTTTCTGTAATTTAATATGGATAATATTGGCAATGATTTAGGAAATCACGGGATCACCATTTTATTTCCAAAATTTTATTTACATGGATTCAGCATATTTTCTTTAATTTTATAAGATAAAACCCCAAGTTTTAAAATCTGATATTTTATGTCACAAAAAATTATTTCTCAATTTTGAGGAAAATCTTTCAATTCTATAAACACTGATATTTATAATATTTATGTATTTATATATACTATATACACACAACATGGCATATTTAAATGTATGAAACAGTTTAAAACCTATTTCGTTAGAGCATTTTGAAATTCAGACTAATGGGAAAAATAACACTGATAACACTTGGGAAAACAACAGCAATAAATTTGGTAATAGTCATGCAGTATGTATAGTAAGCTTCAGATATGATAAATACTGTACATGTCAAATCCACAAATGTAAAGATGTGATCTATTCAAAATCATGCTAGAATCTAAACATAATCCTGTAACTCACAGGCATTTGTGGTAACCTATGAAACAGGAACAGAAACTATCAGGACATATGTGACAGATTTTGTAATTCCCAAGAGCCTAATTTAGACATTTCCAAGGAAGTAAATCAAGGAAGTATTTCCCCCTGAAATGTTTTTATCAACATATTCATAAACACCAAATGAAGAAAATAAAAATAACCCAGATATTACGAGTTAATTTTACCTTCTCAAATTTAATTCCACAGACAACCCTTGAAACAACAGCTTATCCAGGGTATTTTTATTTTCTCCTGATTCAGTGAGGAAAATATACGTCCCTGTTCCAAGGAGAATTTAAGGTGGCCTAGCAGTTAAGATTCAGGAAATAATTAGAAAGCACGTATGGATTATAAAAGCAGAGAAGACAGTTTAAAGAAAGACCACTTGCACACACACCAACATTAATGTCAGGAAATAATAGACTACAGCATTATTATTACCTCACAGTGAGTTCCTGGACACACTGCAAACTATATTATTGGTAAGCAAATTACAAAAGTACTGGTAAACTAGAAATATGGAACAAATTTCAAGTTTTTGCTAACTTTGATGCAGCACATGATTATCAAAATGTGTGTCCTTTGGTGAAAATTTTCACTGCAACTACTGAAATCTAGTGCAGTGCTAGATTTAGTCTCTGGCTATTATTGGTCTAAGTGGGAAAAAAAAAAAAAAAAAAAAAAAAAAACAACCCAAAACTTGGTTTCCACTCAACCCTGAGAAATCCATGCATCCACAGCTACCTGCTGATGGACAGGCAGCTGCACATTCAGGTGGCACATGGCTGCTGTCTGCACAGGGCCGAGTGAAAACCCCATGCCTCCCATCCCAGCAGCCCCACCAGCTCACCCTGAGCAGCTCCCCACCAGGATGAATGAATGGGAAAGTGAGCTGAAGTACAGGCGGCTGGCTCTGGCTGGCACACTGAGGAGGCCACAGTCCCCTCTGCTGCCGGAATGCAGAGGCCTGACCTCGCCCCACTCCTGGGCTCATAGAGGGGCCTTCTGGGAGGAATCAAGGATAGCATTAAATAGCTTGAGGGAAGCAGGCCAGGATCTGCTCACTTTGGTTCTGCAGACCAAGCTTTCAACAGTACCAGAAAGCCTGTACCTCTAGGGTGAGTTGGGTAGACAAGTGATGCTGCAGGGAGGGGCTCGGGTAAGCGGGGAGAAAGAGAGGCAGCGGCACACTTCTCAGGCGTGGCACTCAAGCTCCAGAGTGAAGGTCGGAACAGAGAAGTCCCCCGGTGACTAAAACTCACCAATGCCTTTCCTTTTCAATTTCTGAAGATGAATGTTCCCAAGCAGCACTACAAAGTTTCGGACTGGGTAGGAGAAACCAAGTTCAAGCCTACGGGCCCCTGACGGTGGATGCTGCAAAGCTTGCTAAAGGGACAGCAGACCAAGCCACTGCAGCCAGAGTATGGCAGTGGAGCCCAGGGAAGGGCAGTGGTTACTGCCCTGCCAGCAACACCTTCATGACACAGGAAGGGCTAATCTACCCATGGGCACTGTGTGTCAGGCTCACAATATTCTGAAAGGCCACAATTTTAAAAAATTTCCTTGCAACATAGGGATTAAACCTAAGGTCTTCACACTGAGCTACATCCTCAGCTCTTTCTCATTTTTTGACAGAGGATCTCACAAACTGATAAAATACTCAAGCCACATGAAGTCTTGCAACTCCCAGCCTCCGAAGAACTGCTATATGTGTGTACCATCATGCTGGCACAAATTAAATTTAACTTCCTGAAGAGGGAAAAAAAAAACCATCAGCACTTGAGAGACTGAGGCATGAAGATTACCATCAGTTGAGGTCAGGCTGGTTACACAGTGACTTCAAGAATAGCCTGAATTACATAGCAAGGCCTTGGCTAAAAATAAAAAAAAACTTTAAAAAAAAGGAGGTGGAGGTGGAGAAAGAAGAGGAGGAGGAGGAGAAGGACGAAGAGGATTAGAGCAAATGGTCAAACGCTAAACAACAGGAGGAAGAAGCTGAACCTGATACTGCAGGTCTCACAGTACCAATTTTTCTTTTTTTAAATATTACTTCAGAATTTGATTTTTAAAGAAAGCTAAGTGTTATGGTGGAAAAGTACAGCAACAATTTTCATTGTTAAGCCAAAACAAGAAACAGAATTAAGCTAATTCTTTTATAATTTTGTGCAACAACAGAAGTGCAAGGTACTGAGTCTGGGTGTAGTGGCACACACCTGTCACTTCAGCAGTCTGAGAAGCAAGGCAAAAGGACTGAGTTTGAACCCCACTTGTGAAGACCCTAGGAACACAGAACAAAACAACAGGGTTATAAGACTAGGAAAATTCCCACCTGGGAAACATTATCAGAGTAGGCTTTCCTCTGGGAGCTGCCTCTTGAGCCTCCTGTGCCCACCAGGTCCTGGCTGCAAGCATGTGCAGGAGCCCAGGCCAGCAATGCCAGAACAGGGGGCACCATGGCTGCCAACCTGGGTTAAAGCCCTGAGAGGGAAGTGAGGAAGCAAGGGCTGCACAAATGAAAGAAAAATGGTCAACTCTAAAGCTCTAAAATGATACTGCTCGCCCAAGTTCAAATACCGCACTCTCATGTGTGAGAAATCCAAAGGGTAAATCACAAGCAATAAGGAGGCCAGACACTGAGAAGCAGAAATGGTCTGAATGGGAAGGAACACAAGGGAGGGCACAAGGGAAAGGGAAGGAAGGAAAAAGGAAAAAAGGAGAAAAAATAGGAAGGAAGGGAGGGGAGAGATGGGAAAAAGAATCGAAATATATCATGTGTAGGTAGAATTCTCTATAATGAATGTTATCAACATGTACTAATAAAAAATACAAAGTTAAAACAAAATGAAACTGTCCAAAGGGGGACCAGCAGACTTAATTAATGTGTGAACTGTAGTTTCTACTATACAGTAGAACTGAGATATCTGTATTTTGTGTATAGGTTACTGCACTGTAAAAATACTTCATAAATGTACTCTAAGGTCAGGAAAACATACTAAGTAAAGAGCATTTTAAAAATTGGGCTCCCAAAGCCTTTAACTCTGGCAATTACCATCTATGAATTTCTTAGGTTAGCAAACATGGTTAACGGTTGGCCAGGAAGGAGGCCCCAGTATGAAAACAGAACTTTCAACAATCTCTATCAGCCAGATCCACTTACCTGACAGACACGGAAATATAGTATCAATGCAAACAAGTATCAGTGTCTAGTGTTTGTTGCTCAAGGCACAAGGAACCAAAAGGAAGAGCACAAATGCATTACTACCTTTCAGAATATTAAAGACTGTATGTGAAGGCAACACCAAGCCATGAAATGTAGACCCCTGAATTCCAGTGGAAGAGACTCGGGTCTAGGAGATGATGTGATCTCACCAAGCAAAGCCAGTAACTGAATTATGGTTAACAGCTCAGGCCTAGATCTCTTTACAGGGGCCCCTGGACTTGTGACCTCCATTCCTTCCCAAGGGCTGGTTGCAGCTCAGGTGGTCAACTGAAGGCTCAGGTCTACACACCTTCGAAGTCTCTCCTGTATACAGGCAGACCTCAGTGTCCTTACAGAGGCAGTGACAGGATTTCTCCACTAACCCTGCTCGGGAAAGGATGTTGCAATGTTGCTTCCGAACTTGTTCAGTGTTGACTCTGTATGTGAGCCCATCTGGAAGCATAAGCAGCCAACATTGGGGTCATAACTCAAGACTTTAGTGTAATTACACATGAAAGTCCATCATCACCCAAGTTGTTCATATGCCAGGCCAGTCATAAACTGAGGACCCACTGTACTCCCAGCCCGCAAAGCAACGTTCCTGTACGTCATACTTTGTTGTTTATACTAGCTGCACACAAACTGGAAAAACTTTTTTTTTAAAGTGTGTTTTTTTGTACTGTGCTGTCTAAACAAATACAAAAAATTCCAATTGAGTAGTCCAACAAACAGCATGAACCCTAAAATTTTAGACCTAGAAAAATACTAGGAATTCAAATTAGAACTCAGTTACACACAAAAAAATTCAGGCTCAGAGAAGGCAAACTATAGCTCTCAAAACTACCACGGAGATCCTGGTCACCTAAAAATGGAAAGCTGTTCCTTTCAATAGTGTCTTATTCTTTTTTCCTTTTCTTGATATTGACTACAACCAAATAAAAACGTTCGATCACATCCAATTTAGATAGATAGCGAAACTGTCAATAACACAATGCTGGGAGAATGGGTAAATGTTGGTTCTCCAACTGCATGACTGCTTGTTTATATATCTGAAAACATACTTTAATGCAGATCATAATTTTGAGTTCCAAGCCTTTTGAAGTAAGCACATTTGATATCTCAGGTCAAGCAATGTAATTACACCCTACTGCTTGTAATTCTCCAGACCAGACGCCTGTATTTTGTCAGGCCTAATACCTGAGAATGGTTTTTACATTTTTAAAACATTGTAAAAAGACGACTGTTATGACAGAAACTATTTCTGCCTGAAGTTGACATTATTTATTAACTGACTCTTGTGACGTAAACATATTTTGCTTGATCTGAATTCCAGTGTATACTCAGAAAATATATTAAAACTGGGCTGGATATGTAAAAATTACAAGGCTTTTTTTTTAGCATCTATAAAGTAATCTCTGGTTTATTCAAGCTTTATTATAATTTGATTCTTACTCCTCTGCATTAAGTTTGGGGCACTAGTTTGTGGGTCACAATTACCAGATCCAGGTAAGTGAAATTTTATCACACAATAATGTAAATGGGTATAAAGTTGGATATAATCATGTTATGTACGTGAAAAGAAACGTACATAATAAAATGACAGCAAGTATCTACAAACTGGTCATTTCTTTCCCACAGATATGTCTCTTCTCTATTGAAAATTTTCTCATGGCCCCTTACAGTTTGTTGTTAGCTTTATTAATCAATAGCTCTCAATCATGTTAATTATCTCATGGATCACTCATCCATACCTCATTTGCAACCCCAAATAACAAATGTACAAATTTTACCAGAACATATTAAAGTAATTCTAACAAGATATGAAACAACAAAATAGAAAATAAACCACAAGCCTAGAAATAAGTGAACATTCCACTTATCAGTCTGATCAATAGAGCAGACCATCTGTGTAAATTATCATAGTTTACTGCATTACTTAATAAAAGACAGGAAGACTACGGTGGGCCCTCGTTTCCATAACACTGTTGGCCATGACATGAGAACAAGCCAAGCCAGGCATGGCAGTGCACACCTGTCACCTCAGCACTCTGCTAAAACTGTGAGCCCTGGTCCAGCCTGGGCAACTCCAGTTAAGTTGTGCCACTGATAAACTATCATCATTTCAATGTCCATACTTGAAAACAGTATCTATCATGTCAAGATTAAAATATTTTACATTACAATAAAATAATTACATTAACAGTTCCTTTGTACAATTCTCTTCAGCCACTCCATCCTCTTTCTTGCTTTTGTAACTGGAAAGGAACAAATTTTCTATGCGAGTCAAAAATTCCTCAGCAATGAAGCAATTAGTTACTTTGCTCAGAGTTTTCCTCAGACACTCCAAAAGCTAGAAGGGAAAATAAAAGTTTTATAAACACAAAAAACAGTGTAAGAGGGTTTGTATAACTATCACTACTTTGTCCCTTTCCAAACTTCACATTTCTTAATGACTGAATGAGAAAATTCTCTGTAAATGTGTTTGACGATTGACTTATCAATACACGCAGGGGGGACTACTGAAAATCACTGTTGAGAAATTTTCAGCTTAATTTCTTTATCATTTAAGTTTTCTATAAGGAGATAAAGCCAGGTTGTACATGTGATACTCTCTATGCTAGACAAATCTGTGACTCTGTTTCTTTTTTAGTGATTATACTGACAGAGCAGATTAACTTGGGGGGATTAAATAGAAATCTCAGGGCTGGGAATGTAGTACAGTGCCTGAATCATGCACAAAGCCTGGGTTTGAGGTACTCAAATGAAAAAAAAAGCAAAAAGATACCTACAAAGAAATTTAAGAGTCTTCCATTTCAAAATCAGGATGCTAGCTATGGTCTATTTTCTAGAAATACACGTTAGTCTTTGAATAGGATACAAAAAACAGGATAAAAAATAGTCAAAAGGTACATAATACATTTACATTTTCCAAATTTCTTACAAAATAAGCAGACAAATGTTGCCATTATACTAATTTTAATCATTGCAGAACTGCAATAAAATAATTCTAAGCTCTTACTTCCACCAGTTAAATAAAATGGCTGCTTAAATTTGTTATATTTATACTATCGCTTTAAAAATGATCAATTGTTAAGGCTAAAAGTTGCTTCTGAATTTGCTAAAATCAGAAAAAAGTTCTCCTTTGTGCACAATAATAATCTGCTAAGAAATGCACCAGTTAGTGCTGACAAATTTATTCTAAAATACTATTTTCTATGTGAAGCTCTAGCAAGAAAACATATTCCTAATTATCTCCCAGAAATTAATTTTAAAAAGGAAAAGCAATAGAAGCACTACATAGAAAACATGTCTGCAAAGTATCAGGTATCACGCGAGAGCAAGTGCTGGTGAACAACCCTGGGCTCTATGAAAAATGGCACCAGTTAAACTGAGGGCAGCTTACTTTTTGCAAACAAGTCAGGTCAGAATCCCGGTGAAAGATTTTATCCATGGGGACACTGCTGTAGGAAGAAGGAAACACACTGATGAAACAAATACTGGAAAGTAATCAGTTGTGAAACAAACTGTCACGGATGCCATACATCACAATTTTATGTTTAACTCGGGCTGTCTCTGAAACCTGATTTAATGAGAAACACAGCAGATGTGCAAGCATCTCAAACCCAGCACATACCTACTGGAGAGCCTGTATTTCTCTATTATCCATCTTGTCTTTTCAAGTACTAATCCCCACTGAGGTTCTTCTAACATCTGGTGTACTTCAAATTTGTAAGGTAAACCTAGAAAAGCATAAAGGAGGAACATTTACCAACTATTTCTTGAATCTCAAATCTCCTTTTAATTACCTAAAATTCCCTTCAGTGTTTTAAAAACCACAGCCTGGCAGATCAGTTCAGCAGCACTTTAAGTGCAGTGAGTATTCATTAAATATTTATTGCCTGACTGTACTTGGTTCACCAAGCATACTAATGCCAACCTATTAATAATCACGATGCCACTTCATAATGATACTATGCAAGGCACAGGGGGTGGTAGGATTATTGTACAATTTATCACCCCAACCAAGAGACTTTTTGAATGGAAGGGAGCACAGACTTAAATTGGGACTGTTGTCTTAAAATTTGTGTTTTTAAAAACACAAGTTACAAGGCTTATAAATCGTATCAGGAAGGTGGCTGACACAGTTTGTATCCAGGCACCCCCAAAGGCCCCAGGGGATCCTAGACAGTGTTCTGGAGAGGTCCAGCAATGGTGAGGGCTGCTATAGCTCAGCCTGCAGGAGGAGGCAGCACCTGGTGGAAGAGGCAGGTCTGGGGTGCGTGTGACCTGCTTACTTTTGGTGTTGCCGCCCTGCTGCCATGATACCAACAGCTCTTCCTCTGCAGACCCTCTGTCACAGTGCGCCATGAAACAGAAATGGGAACCAAAATAAACCTCTCCCCCTTTAACTTGCCTTGTGGGTATTGAGTATTCTGTCCCAGTGACAAAGTGACTAGGACAGAAGCATTATTTCTAGTTTTACAGATGAAAAAACTAAAGCTGAGATGTCAAACAGGTATTGAGGCTGGCAAGGGGAAAGCCTGCAATCTCAGACGCAGGCAAGTCTGCCCCATTCTGAGCCCACACTCTGCCCCTCCCTCCAGGTGCCAATCCAAGAGCAGACAGCAACGAGAGAAAGTCTGGGGAGGCAGCAATTGCACTGCAGTCAGTGTTCAAGCAGAACACTGGAGAAAAAGAAGCCACGGGGACATCATGTAGGGAGCCACAAAGGCTAAGATACCACGAGGTAAGCTGCCTTGGCAATGTCGCATACGCCTTTTTAACACTCCCATGTAAGCGTATCTGTGGTCTATCAAAAGCTCAACTGAGTCACTACCAAAGGCTTGTCTCATTACAGAGCAACACACGAACACTTGTCACATGCCAGGCTCTGGGTGCTTTACATAGCTGAAGTCATCAATATGAAGCAGTTACTATTACTGTTCCCATGTTCTGGTGGACACGGAGCCACGGAAAGTCACAACAGTTCATGCTCATATACACGAAGAAGGCCTCAAAGCCCTAGATGGTTTGACTTAAGATTTTTTTTTTCAGTACTTGAGACTAAGCCCAGGACCTTCACACTTCCACATCTCTGGGATAACAAGTTTGTACCACCATGACTAGATCAGAATCGATGTTTTCAACTTTTTTTGAAAAATTAAGGCTTTTCAAAAGTACATAAAATGCCAGCAAATCAAAAGGTATAGAAACACCCAGGGCAAAAATAATGAACGTATTTCTTCACAATAAAACAATTTAATTAGTAATTTGCTCTGAAAATATGCAGTACCAGTAGTATGCTTTGTTTTCTCAGGTGTTTGGGAGGAAGCAAGAGGATAGCAGCCTGGTGATGACTGGTATCTTTCTCTCTGAGTCATCAATTCTCCTCCATTTCACGAAACCAGAAATTTAAGAATGCACATTGTAATATACAATAGCAAATTTCTTTTAATTGTAACAGTAATTTACCTGACATGCTTTGATTATGTACCAAGCAGATAGGTATCAGCAACAATCATTACCATCTATTGAAAATCAACCTGCTAACATTTCACACACACTGCTGATAATCCTTGTATCTACCTTATAAGCAAAGTAATATTTTTTTTTTAACAGATGTAGCAAAAGAGAGAAAGGTTAAGTAACCATCCAAGGTAAAATAACTAGTAGGTGGGATACTAACAAGTTGAGTGACCTTTACCCTTATTTGAGTTGAAATGAGAATAGTTAAGACAATTAATGCATTTTTAATCAGGGCTAAAGAAAACACACATATATTCTCTCTCTCTAAGCAATTCTATTCAGTATTATTGAAGGTTTTTTCTAAGCTTAAAAATGGCAGTACAGCAAAAATTTCCTTCTATGCAGAGCGTTTTTATCCAACAAAATATTGAAAAAGTTAATCACCAAATAATATTTTCTGACTGATGCAAGTATGGAGAATAGCCATTAAAAACATTTTAAAGGTAGCCCCTGAGTTACACATACTGTAAAAGCACAAAGTACTCTATGACATCTGGAGAACCCTGACTCTTGCACTAGGTTTCCAGGAGACACAAAGCAAAGGGCCAAAGACTATGATCCAACACTGGATATGGTAAGGATGACAGACAAGTTGTAGAGGAGGCCACCCTGCCCAAGACAGCCGTCTGAGTAACACAGTGCTGAGTGCCTGTGCGCTGCCCAGAGTAAGCTTGTTCTACGAAGCAGTTCCTCCCCCAGTCTGAGATGGTTCCTTCCCACACAAATCTGTAGTCATTATATGCTTAAAGAGCATCTACTACACATCTCAAGTCACTCTCGAATGATCTAACTTTCTCTTTGTCTTCTGAAACTTAAGTGCCTTGGTCTGGCTGAGTCAGCCAGGTTCTGGGTAGATGTGTCTTCCTTTTGCCATGAAACTCTTTCAAGTCAAGAAGTGAGGGTAATTTGAAAGCCAGTTCATTTGCTTCCAATCTCTTAGCAATCATCTTCTCTTATTGCCTTAAGTTGTATCTTAAAAAGCACTGTTGTATGTATTTTTTGCCTAATGTTTTGGTTGTTTCAGGGGTTCTTGTTTCTTTATTTTAGCTGGAAGTAGAATTGCATGCACTGAATAAATTTCACATGATGCTAATGAGTTTAAACTTAGAGTCAAATGTATCTATGCATTAGAACTGTAAGAAATGAATGTGCTGAGAAGTTTATTGCAACCCTTCTCTCTATACAGTTTACAAAAATTCTGGACTACAGCTAATGCCTGCATTCTTCATTCAATAAAAAGCACAGTGGCAACCTCCCTTAAACAAGGGTATTAACTAGGTGCTACTGGGGACACAGAGAAGACAGTCCCTGCACTTTATTCAATTTAACAAAACTTTAATGAAGAGACAAATTACAGTCAAAGACAAAAGTGACCACGAAGGCAGGAAAAGAATTGCAGATGCATAAAAAATAGAACAACTAACAGTAAATGACATGGGGGCAGTGCTGGGAAGCCCTTATCAAATCCAGGACCTCTAAATGAGATGATTAAGAATGATAAGAAATTATTACACATTCATTTTGTACTTGCTATATGCCAGGCTTTGTGCCAGAAACAGAATAAAAAAATGAAAATGAGTCATATGTACTCACAAAGACCTCATAAAAAGGGAAGATGCAATGTGCTAAACGCAGTGCCACTGACCAGCGAAAACCCTAATTTGAACAAGGAAGGACAGAGAAGAGAGACAAGTACCCTAGAGGTGCCATCATTGTTCTGACTATCCTTCTTGTCCATATTCTTTTCCTCCTCTTACTCTGCTGCACTGATTCTCTAGCTCATAAACTATGAACTGCAGAGGTACCAAGTTGTACGATGGGCTACACCAATCAAATTCTCTCTTAAAACACAAAGAAAATGAACCAGATATAGTTAGTCCTGGGGAGATGACAATAAGCTGGGACAATCTTTTCTTTTACCATGCCATCCCAGAAAAAGCCAGTCTACATTTACAAATATTTTCATGGGAGCAGGTCTTTGTTCTCTGAATGACACCATCTCCAGTGCACAGCATCACCAGCTTTTCTTCCCATTTTAGTCCTGCACAGTGGCCATGGTTAGACAAGTCCATTACAAAAGTGAGGAGTTACACTAAGTGGCACATACGCAGTGATTTTTTTCCATTGGTTTCTCAGTGTTGCAAATTCTTTAACTTGCAATAGTCAAAGAAAAGAGGATGGATAAAATAGGAAGTTGTTACCATTGAAAACTTACGATGGGAGCCATTTGAGCTGATCTCCTCACTGATAAGCAGGCAGGTCATCTGGGAATATGGCAAAGGATTGTTTCGATTATAGGGACTAATAATTATTCCAATGAACTTGGCACCTCTTCTTGAGAAGTAACTCTACAATAAGAAAAGTTTTACTAGTTTCAACTATCTAAGTTTAAACATCAATATTTATCCACACAACATTCTAAATATCTATGGGGAAATGATAATGGAAAAAATGAAACAAAAAGGTGCATTAAAAACTTCCTATTCAAACAGCTACTAAATTGAAACGGCCTATGTATTCATTTCACGCTGCAAAAATTTCAGGCCAAAATGCATCCACCCCAATCAGAAATGACTCAAAAAAACTTACTAGCAACCAAGTGTGACGGTACATCCCTGAAGTCCCAGTACTTAGAAGGCTGAGACAGGAGAATTTCATGTTTCAGTCCCACATGGATAACTTAAAGAGAGCCCCTGTCTCAAAATAAAAAAGATCTGGCTCTGGGTTTAATCCCTAGTACCTCAAACAAACAAACAAACACATGGTCTGTAAAGTCTACATTTCTCATGAATGTATTTACTAACTGTATTGACTACTTTTCAGTTGTATTCCTAATGTACTAATTTACAAACAGCTGCCTACAGCAAAAAACATGCATCAAACAAAATTACAGAACAAAACAAAAAGTGTTTTTCAGGGGGCAAAATATATTAATGTTTCCAATTAATTCACTTAGTTTCAGTTCTTATCCTAGTTGTCTGTATTAATTTTTAAAGGCTCTGGGGACCATTTATGGCTTTTCTATACTAAATAAAACTGCTGACTTTCCAAATGCTTACACAGACGCAGGACATGTAGGAAAGGGGGAAGGGAAAGAAGTAAAAAGAATGAAGATGTGGTATGTATCTGTACCACTACCCGTGATGAATGCAATCATGTAATGCAAACATGCACTAATAAAAATTTTTTAAATTTAAGGAAAATGTAGTTACTTAAAAACCCCATATATAAATATTAAAAATGCGGAGCTAAAAACATTAAAAGCTTTTTAACAAAAATAGGTATTTGTGTGTGTAATCATTTAGAGACTATACACACAAAATACCCATATAACTATAATCATACCTGGTATTTGGCCTGTGTGTCAATGTCTCGTAAGGAAGGATTAGGATCAAATGCAGGATGAGAATGATACCATCCAATCACACTGTACCCTCTAACAGCCAAGGTTTCTGAGGCCTGTGTTTGTGATACAGGATCCATCTCACACTGTAGTCCTGTACTGAGACTGTTACACGGTTCTGCTGCACAGACCTATAAAGGATCAATCCTCATTTGATTATATGGAAGTATCATTCATTCTGTCACTTCCAAATGAAGTATATGTCAAAAGTGTAATTGTTGGCTAGGAACTCAGCATACATCCTGCTAATCAAATGAGGGCACCATAATGGTTATATGACGGTATTCTTTCAATGATTCTTATAGTTTATGATGAGGAGACGAAGCATACCAACTTTCAAGTACACGTACTAGCACATATTTTTAGTTTTTTATGGGTGAAGAGACAAGGCCTGTTTTCTGAAGGGAAAACAGATGCTTAATATATACAATGTTGAGTCATTTCTTGGAATATATAACTTTCTACATTTAGATATTCTCACATTTATCTTAGGTAATGCCTGCATTTTCATTATAGACACTGAATTCTATGAAGCAGTTGGGATTGAAGAACTAAATGGTAGTTAAAACCGTATTTGAAAAAAGGGAACTTACTTCCATTATCTTATCAACTTCTGAGTATCTTCCTCCTAGCAGACCAATTACTTCTGCCATAGAAACATGAGCATGCTAAAAGAAATACAAGACAGACTTAGCCCACATGCACAAATCTCACAGAAAATCAGAATGAAACTTGCTATCATAGGGGTCATTTCTGAGTATAACAAAATACATTTTTCAGGAGAACTAGTTTTAGCTTGGCACACAAAGACTCAGATTTTAGGTCTACTCTCACTGCTGGCTGAGGAGCTCAAATCAAATGCTCCAAATGCCACTTTTTCATTTACAAAACAAGGACATTACTTGATCTCTTTATTTGAGAAAAATATATTAAGGATGTAAAGTAAAAATCCCTCTGGGTCATTCTATTAAAAAGCACTACAAACAAACATAACTGTTAGATGTATTGGTAGTTTAGTACAAACAAGGAACCTCCAAATTATAGAAGCTATGTTTTGTTTCAGAAAAGGCAGCAGACGTGATATTAGGAAATGAAAATAGGGTTAATGATAGTAAACAGCCTGCAAAACTCACATTAATTTATTTCTCTAAAATATGGAAACATTCAATTGTCTGACTTTTCTTCAAAAGAAAAGACTTATTTTTAGATTCCTTGTAAAAGAGGATAGTTAAAATCCAAAATACACGTCTTCCATACTCTTAAGCCTGCAATAAAAATACAAGAATAGAAATCAGAATAACTAATTAAATGCAATAGATTATCCTTACCAAATCCATTATTAAAAGTGCTTCTGAAGCCACTTTCACCTGAAATGGCTCCTGAAATTAAAAAAAAAATGGCGAAGCATAAAAATAGAGATTTTTATTCTGCCCACTCACTGGACACCCACCCTTTTTTCTTTCCCTAACAGAATTCTGCCAAATTTTCATCACTGACCAAGGCTCAGCAAAACTAGACTTTGTTTTTTTTTAAATTACTCTTCAAAACCCCAGCAGGGAGATTTTTTAAATTTTCCATTTGTGTTACTCATCTGAGCCTAAATACAGTTTGACAAAAAGAATAAATATTTCCTAACTGATGGACATTATTTATAGGTATTGATACACAGTACCTGTTTTTCTTCACTGAAAATACTACAAGGAATCAGCTGGAAAGGATCAAATGAACTGAAAATGAAAAAAAAAATACATTTTTAATATAATCTCAACAAGGTCAGGAAAAAAACATTTATTTACAAAATTGAAAATGTGTACCAATAATTTAAGCCCAAATTATATCTCAATGAGAAAAATACTGAACTAGGAGACATTCTGTTCCATATAGTCCTATTAAAAGAACTGCTTTTAGATTTGACAAAAAACTGGAACTTAATAGTTCAGTCATGTTAATTTCTTTTAACATTTGACATGTATAAAATAAAGATGTGCTCTACACCATAAGATTTTAAAACATTCAGTGTTTTGAATGAAGTGTAACTGAATCTCCAATATGAGACCTGAAAGAAGTTTATGTCGAGTTTCTCAGTCATTTCTACTGTGCCTGCCACAGAAAGGGCATCAATAAATACTGTTTGAATAAGTGAATGACAAACAATTCTCCTGAAGAAATTAGAGCACACAGGTGTCCTATGGTAAACTCCTCTTTTACATGCAGAGACAGAAAGAAGGAACTCGAGCAAGGCTAGATACAAAAGCATGTATTAATCTGAAAGAAGTATCAGAAGGGTTTTGATCACTACAGATATTTGAGAAAAATCGTACGGACAATACAAGGTTTTTTAAGGTTATGGTCAGAGAAAGAAAAATAGGAATATATTCTTGCTAACATAACTGGAGAAGAATATGACTTTTCAATCCCCATATTTCCAAAGAGGACAAGGTAGTTCCAAGACACTTTCCTCTGCTTTGTACTACATAGAGCCCTTTCCCATCTTTATGGCGGTCCAGGAAGTTTATATTTGTAATCCCATGGAAAAGTTACTAGAATTCCAATCTACCACTTCCTGTGCAACCCACGGCAAGAATAAAGACACAAAGACATATTTATAGTCATGGGAGCCAATGAGTCCTAAGTCTGATCAGGAAGGGTTCACTGGAACAAAGGCCTTGACCCAGGGACCAGCCTGGATTTCATTAATTCATGAAGGGAATGGTTTAAGGATGAGTGACAGCGAGAATGGCAGGAAATCAATGAGTACTGCCAGTGGGGCTATGCAGGAGGCCTGAAAGACTGATCTGCATAACACAATTGGGTAGCACTTAACTATTTAGAGCCTGATGCTTCAATTCCGACGTGTAGACTTTTCTGCCCTGGGAAGTCACAACTTCTTAGCTCAAGTTTGGAACCCCGTTGACAACCTGGTAGCTCTATATCCTGCCTGGCTCAACCATGTTTGGGGAGTCACAGAGAAACAGCGACTGTGGCCTAGCGTCAAAGATTATGCATCGCAGCATTTCAGCTAGAGGCCAACTGACCAGAAAACGAAACAGCCTAGCCAGCTCTATTCGTGTCAGTTATGGTGACAGGGCTGGGTTTAGTCAAAGTAGAGATAACTGCTCTTTGTTCAAGGAGAGGTGTCCAGCTGGTCTTCCACATTGTACTGTGCGTATCCCACGGGCCTGGAGCAGGGTCCAACACAGCAAGTGCTCAACAACACTGCTGAAGGCCTTTAAGTCAACTGAATAAAAAGGAACTAAGGCAGAGAAGAGAAACAGAACAGAGTAACTGCATCTCACGGCACCTAAGATCTATATAGCTGAGAAGTATTGTCACTATTTCTTGAGAGCTGCATAGAATGAGAAAGTGATTTGAGGACTAATGATAGGCAACTTTCCTGGGCTAAAATACGAAAAAAAGTAGACTTCAGAAAAATTAGATATGGAATTCTGGCAAATTTCTCGGAAGACTATTAAACAGCTGATTGGTGAGCATTTACCAAGTGGAGAGGTAACTAAGAATATTAGTGAGTTCGTGCAATATAAATCATAATAATTTGATCACAGATATTTTTGATAGGAATGATATGCTAGAAGTTAGGAGGCTGCATACTCAAATATTTTATCTGAAATTAAATAAGATACCTGCCATAATTCTACTTCTACATAAGATTTTTTTTAAAAAAAAGGTTAAATGTAGGAATATATGTAGTTGACTGAATAATGTCTGAGGTTTACATTTATTCCACTTAAAACATTTTATCTGGGAACGAGTAGCAAAAAAGGCAAGTTCATTGAAATGCTGACGACATAATAATAGAAAGGCTAAAGAGAGAAAGCAGATCTGGATGTAAAATGTGGCTAAGTCTGGGGCAATGAGTTGAAATTCACAATGAATGTACATCTTACAGAGACTCAGAAAATTGAATTTCTTAATACTAGATGAGTTGTGGCTCATAGAGGAATGTATTTTTTCTTTTGAGGAATGTATTTTTATAGTCTACTTTCACAAGGAGAGTAGAAGTTTAGTTTTTATTTGACAGAGGCCATATATAATGTAATAAATTATATATTACAAGGGATATAGATTCTTAGGTCTAACTTCCTGGGTTTAAATTACAGATCCACCACTCAACTGCATCAGCAAATAACTAGTTACTGTACCTTTTCTGCCTGTTAGTTTTCATCTGCAAAATAGAATACTATTAACTACTGCAGTGAGTTGTTACAAAGATCAAATGAGCTGATATACGTGAAGTGCTTAAAACACAGCTAACACTGTCAGCTATTTGAACTATTACTTTATAAGGACCCAAGCAAGTCTCACCTAAGAACAAACAACTGGTAAAAAAAACAACCTAGTGGCATTACTGGATATCTTGTTTTCAAAGGGACACTGATGGATTGCATTTTCTTCAATGGGGCACTTGCAGAAGTGAGATCTAGAAAGTCAAGGAACCTTGCTTATTTGATGACCTTTAACTTTAGAGAATACAAATTTTAGTATACATATTCACACACACACCAATTTCCATATCCCCAAACAACTTGCAAATAAGCAAGTTGGCAGGTGTTTCAAAAGTATTTCACCTTATGTCCATAGTGCCTAGATGACTGGTTACAGAAAAAACCCTTGCCACACGTGTTGGAACCATCCATGCTCACTGAATATGTACTCTAAAACTGTAGCTTTAGGTTTCCAAACTGATATGAGTAGAATTAATAATTTTCAAAATCTAACCAATTATTTTTCACTTTATTAGATTTAAAAAGGTTTTACCTGATACATTTGTGAACAGTATAATACCGATACTGGATTTTTTTCCATACATTTTCTAATCATATGTGATAAATTTTTTAAAAATTATGTAACATGACACTGTACCTTTTTGTTGATCTTGACACTTTTGAAGATTTAGCAGGTTTGCTATTTTCTTCTTCTCTTTTTGCCAATTCTTCAGCAGAGAGATGCTAAGATAAATCAGATTTAAAGGCATATGAGAACAAGAAGACAGACTAAACTGCTACGATGAGACTAAAACACACTAACACACGTGCTGGACACCATTTTTAAAGAACAGTTTCAAAAAACACAGCCCTATCAAACTGAAAAGTCCTCTTGGCTTGCCCATTTTAATTAGTGGTATCAAAACCACCTGGGTCTTTTGTTCTTGTTTTTACCCACCAACTCCTACTATGCTGAATTTTCCTTTAATGACTGAAAGACATGACAATGTCATGATATGAAAACTACTGGAGTCTGATGGCTGAGGAGACAGCTCAGTGATTCAGTGGTCAAAGGGTTTCCTAGCATGTGAGGTTCCGGATTTGGTTTGGGGATGTGGGGTGAGCGTGGAAGAGCCCACAGCACCACAGAAATTCTGGAGCTAGGAGGACCAGTTCTGCTCTTTCCCAGCTGGATAAGCACAGGCAAGTTATGATACCTTCATACTTTAGTTTCCTACTAACAACAATGACATCATAGTATTATGATGAAGTTAAATGAATTAAAGTTTATATTCCACGCCGTTTCTACTACTAACCTTAAATTCTACTACTTCCTTTTTTTTTTGCCAGGGATCAAACTCATGACCTTAAGCTTGCCAGGCAGGCGCTTACCCTGCTGAGCTAAACCCCCGGCCTAACCTTACATTCTAGCTGAAATGAACTGTGCAGCTTTTTCAGATTATATCCAGCACTGTCAATGTCTTGCTTCTCTTGTGTCCCTCCTTCAGCATAGAATTCTTCTGTTTCTTTTTAATTTTTCTGTAGAGCTGGGATTAAACCCAGGGCCTTCACACAGCTACATCCCCAGTTCTTTATGTATTTTATTTTGAGACAGTCTCTCTAAGTTGCTAAACTGTCCAGACTGGGCTTATGATCCTCCTGCCTCATACTCCTAGCATACTGAGATTATAGGCATGGGCTACCATGTCCAGGTTCAGCTATTTTTTGAGATGATTCTTCTACTGACCCTCTTTGGGAGGCTCTTACAATTACTGGACCAACTTAGCACAGGCTTTGTCTTTCTTACCAGAAGTATAAGTCCCTTACAGGAAGGGACAATTTATTACTTAAAATTATTCCTAGGACAGCTAGTGTGGTAGCACACCCTTGTAATCACAACACTCAGGAGGCTGAGCAGGAGGACTGCTGTGAGTTTGAGGGCAGCCTGGGTATATAGTGAGTTCAAGGTACAAAGTGAGACCTCATCTCAAATTTGCCGCCTCCACCTCCCAAAATGCCCAAAGGACTAGGAGCAGGAGGAGAGAAGAGAGGAAGCTAACATTTACTAAGTAGCAATGTATTGTTTGAGTATCTAATATTAGGACTTTCATATATGTCATTTATTTCTTACAAAAAATCCTTTAAGGGAGGATCAGCTATATTCATAAATTTAAAAATAAGGGATTCATTCAAGTTAAGTAAGTGTTCTTGGTAATACATATACACTCACTCTATTTTTGGTTACTGGTTGGTTATTAACAAATTATATATTCAGGACACATATGTGCATACATATATACCAATGTACCACAACATTCATTACCTATATTTTTTGGGGGGCCCTAGGTTTTATTATTAGAAATAACACTTCAATATTTATAATTCAGTATGTCTGACATTTAGAACAGCATTTTAACTGTTATCTCAGAACACCATTTAGCAACTGTTTAATGAAATAAATTGGGCACACTTCTTACATTGGTATATATTATTTGACTAGAGATGAGAATGCAGAGCTACAGAATCAAAGTTTTGAAAATGAGTGAAACTCTTGACCTTTCACTCTGCTGTTTATTGGCAAGGTCTAGGCAGATAATTTGGGAATGAAAATATATATACAAGAACGCATAAAGCAGGGGCAACACAGATGACATTAAGACACAGAAATGTACACTGACATAAACAGTAAGGCCAGTTACCTCAAATGTCTGTCCTTCTAAATCCTTTGCATCACACCAGTTTCCCCAAGGGTCTCGGACCCTCCGCCTCCTAGTGCGCTGTGATGAAAATAAAAAGCAACAGGTGGAGAAATCACAACCCACTCATACGCAAAACAAAAACCGTAATTCTTTAGAAAGTATGAATCTGCGTGAGCAGAGCGATCTAACTGTCGGCGACTCACTAAGCTTTGTTAATTCACATCCAACAGTTAGCACCCTACTCAGCAGCACCTCACTTCCTGGCCAGCTCAGGCGAGAATGCTGGCACAGGAGAGCAGGTGCGCGCTGCTGGGAGCAGAAGCGCTGCTGATTTTCTCATTTTACTTGCACCTCTTCAATTTTCATTTCATTCACCATTTAGGAGCTAAAACACTCAAGACAAATATATCTTTAAGAAATTTTTTAACCATCAAGAAAATGGCTTTTACCACATGTGAGAAGAAACTGCACTAGAAGCAAAATAATTATGTATTAACCTTAAAAAGTTTGCCAGGTAATAGAAATACAGAAAAGTTACAAAGTTCACTGAATACAGTATTAATATCCTGTTCTTAAAACTTCAATATTGAGGTCTTTAAAATGGACCAGGCTGCTAAAGGCTAGCATATGACCTAGAACCCTCTAGCTACTCTATTTTTAAGGTTTTATAGCTTGTTTTGCCTCACAAACCAACCCAAAAGTGAAGACAGAAAAGCAATGGCAAAGGTGACACACAAGAGGACAAAAGTTCACTCAGCAGCTACAGAGGCAGGCATTCATTCCTACACAGGAAAGAGCAATGTGGGGAAAGACGGCTGCCTACCATAGACTGCAGCCGCTGTGCAAGCTGGTACGCTTCCACTGCGTCTCTTCTGTCTCTGATTCGAGCTTTATCAACCGGTTGTGGCCTATTATAGACAGCCTGTTCTATTGGGATTTAAGGAAGATAAAACAATCTATTATTATGAAAGTCCTTTGTTAACAGGAAGACACATCTGTATTAGCTGAGCTCTTACAATGCTTATTCCACAATCCTGTATGTGATATGCTACCCAGTAGTTCTCAAATAAAGGAATGCTATTATTATAAGGACATTAAAATGTAGTTATTTAGGAAGCAAGAAGTTTAATGCCTTACTAAACATTTCTTATTAAACAAGTACTGAACCTACTCTGCTAACTTTGGCAGTTTAATACTGAAAACATGATTTCATTTTCTTTTTTTGGTAGCGGGACCAAACTCACAATCTCATGGTTACGCCACTGAGCTAAATCCCCAGCCCAATAAGGTAGCTGAAACATTTTCATTTTCCTGAAAAGGCATTCTCAACACATGGAATACGTGGCTTTAGGCAAATCAAGCCATTAACGTGAGGAACAGACCTCAAGGTAGACTTTAAATTTTCTGTTTCTAAATAAAATGAAATGCCCTGCCAGGAAGTATGCTGGTTGGTCATCTCACCTATGTATACTGAAAGTATACTGCACTGAAACCACGATGATAAGGTTCTAACTACCTATCATTATGCAAAAGCTTTCTTCAAAATGTTTTTAAGTCAATGAATAGGCAGATACATTTTACAACAAAATCTTAATACTTTTTCTGTAATTTTATAGTATCTCTCAAATCTATTTGAACTCTAAACATTAGATGAATTAATAGATATTGTGTAAAGATAAGAAATGCTGCGTAAAAAATGTAGGGCTTCTGTCTTTACCACATCCGAAATTGATCGCTCCTATCAACTCCAGGTACGTGTGAATCCGCCCAATGCAGTTGACGTCCCCACAGTTCTTCAGGCCAGGGCGCACTGAGGTCTTATTCAAGTATTTTGGTTTCCGTATCACCCTAATTAAGAATCAGAGGTATAATGATTCTGTACAAATAAAAAGCATGGAAAAAGATTTCTGGGAAATCTGAAATATCTTAACCTTTTGTGGACTTGTAATGTGTAAATGTACAGTAAATATAATGGATGATACTCAAATATATTTTTTCAGAAATAAAATACCTTTAAATATTTATTCTTTTGGTACTGGGAATTGAACTCAGGACTTGTACCTGACCTGCCAGGCAGGCACTGTGCTGCTGAGCTGTATCCTCAGGCCAATACCATACTTTTAAAAGACACAGTAACTTACAACTACCTGCACAGTGTATTTTTTTTACAAGTATTATTCTTGTCCTAATAGTAAACCCATTAGATTACAGTTTTTCCCAGGATCTTGAAATTAGTCCCAGTACTCTGGGAGGCTGAGGCAGAAGAATCTCAAAATTCCAACTGAGTCTAGGTAGCTTAGTGATTTCACCAGATCCTGCTTCAAAATACGAAATTTTAAAAAGGGATGGAGCTCAGTGAAAAGGCCCTCAGGTTAATCTCCAGTATGGGGGAGAAAAAAGGGGAGTTATTTATGTACAGATTCAAAATCAAATCCAGAAGTCCAGATCTTTGACTAAAAAGGGCACTTTTGATAACAGAAGGAACCAATTTACAAGCAGACCTCTGTCCCCCGGCCCAGTTCAAGCTACAAAAAATTCAAATTACTTTTAAAGTATCTAGGCTAACAAGGTAGAAATTCAAAGAAATTCAAAGTAATTCAAAGAAAATACACTGACAATTTAGACAATTACTGTACCCCACTGAAGGAACTATTAGCACATTTTTCCACAAGTTCAAAGCATTTAAGTAAGTATTTAGGAAAATAATTTCTATAATCCAGCTACATTTAATGACACTATTTTCTTGACACCAAGTTTTTCCTTCTATGAACTGAAGGTACGTGATAAACCTGGAAGGAAATTCCCTTTCCCACTACAGTAGTTTTCGACAAGGCCCTGAAAAAATACGGTGGGTATTTAAACAAAAACATACTGCCTCTAACTCATTCACAATGCTCCCTTTCCCTCAGAAGGCACCTATCCCAGCCTTACTGGAGTGACTCTGGAAGTCCTTTCTCCTGCATACTTCAGACACACCGTCACAGCTGCCTTTGTGTCCTGCACTGATTCAAACCTTTCCCTTCCACGGTCTTCCTGACTTTGGGGAAGAGCATGGCACACAGTGCCAGGTCCCATAAGTGAGGCTCACATTTTCATAAGCCTGCCTCCTCGAGTAGCACTCACTGTACTTTCCATAACTCATACACAGGAAAACTTCTGGACTGCTTCAGAAAGGGGCAAGAAAATGACAAAGGGAGGACAGAGTATTTTGAGTGATTAATGGTAATGTCTTTTACTGGATTTTTAAAAATTTAACATTTATTTTTCAGTCACATGTTGCATAACTTCCAATACTATAGCAAGAAACTGCTTTGTGTGTATGTCTTTTTAGAGACAGGGTTTCACTAGGCTGGCCTTGAATTCATACCAATGCTCCTGCCTCAGTCTCCTGAGTTGCTGGGATTACAGGTATACAACATCACACTCTTCATAGAGAAATTGCTTCATAAAACAATTATTTACTGTTTTTTTCTCCAGGGCCCCCAACACTCTAAAGGTTTTGTTAACAAAAGATGACAATGTAAAAGTATCACTATGAGAAATTTAAAATCTGAAATGGTGATATGTGTACACTGCTGAGGTCACTACAGCAAAATCCTAAAGCCTGAATAGTCCTGGTCAAATACTTCAGAGCATATGTTTTCAAAGCAGCACCTAAAATGTAATTCTTACCACTGATCCAAAATGTAATTTCTAATTTTCAAATAGCGTTCTGGTGTCTTAGTTTGACGTCCCTCAAAAAACTCAGGAATTGCTTGTTTTTCTTCTTCTTGAATGACACTTCTATCTATTTCTACTTCCTGTTCTGGTGGTTTAAGCTCTTCTTCTTCATGACTTTCCTCCACCATTTGACAAGAATGAAAAAGCACTTCATTATCACTTGTATCTTTCTGAATTTCACAAGGCTCTGAAGATTTTGACTTGGCATTGTCTATTATTGTGTTTCCATCACGCAGCTGACTCTGTTTCTGATGGTTTAATTCAACTGAGTTTGTGGCACTGTTGCTCTGTTTTTCAGTCCACAGTGTATTTTCTGAGCCTAAATGCACTTCTGTTTCATCTTGCTTTATATTACGCAGATAGCCTCTGGAAGATTCAGAAAAGGGACTTTCCTGGAGTACACATTGTCTGTGACTGGGTTCACATGCTTTATTACTAGGACTGCCCATTGAGGGAACACTGCTGGTATTCTTCTGCGGTGTCTGAGAAGTCAACTCGTCTACCTCATCTGTGATGTCCACTTCTTCATCATCAGACAACTTTTCAATCTTGACAGCATTCAAGTTAGGGTCCAAATGTTCCCTCACACACGACAGCACTTGGGCTTCCGCCCCTTCAGCTTTATTTTCAACCTGAAGATCACTGCTGCTCTTCTCACTGTGTGTTTCTTTCTCAGGAGCCCATTTTACCTTATTAAAAATCAGAAACAAAAAAGTGTTATATAAATATTAAGCTAAGTGCATGTCAATAGTATATTAAACTATTGTGCTTTTTAAAAATGGGCTTAGAGATGCCATACTCTGGACATATGTCTAGGCTAGCTGTGTGGTCCAGAGGCTCTGAACTCCTTTAAACTATGTGCAAGGCCCAGACAGTGCCACACTGGGGGTGAGTCCCTGCCAGCAGCATGGAGGATCTGAGTGCTCCTCATCCAGTGTCCCAGTGCAATACATCAGAAACTGCCTAGCCAGCCTCACAGGTCACAAAGGAAAAGAACCCTGCCCAGCCCAGAGTCCCAGAGCAGCCCAACAGGGAGTGACCAGCCTAATCAATGGGTCCTGGAGAATTTGAACTCCATCCCTCAGAGCACAGGGCTCCAGCTCCATAGTTCAGGAGTGTGGTCCAGCTGGCCACATGGATCTGGAGGTTCTGATCTCCTCCCAACCAGGCACAGGGATGTGTCCCTGCTAGCTGCATGGAGAATCCCAACTCTACCCAGCCCAGGTTCCCAGTGAAACCCAGTGCCATCCATCAGGTCACAAAGCAGCAGGCTCCAGAGCTATAGTTTGGGGGGTGCACCCCAACTAGCCACAGGGATATCAGAAGACTGAAGCTCTGCCCAGAGCAGTGCTCTAGTGCAATCCATCAAGAGGGTGCCTGGCTAGCCACACGGGTTCCAGAGTGACAAAACAAAAGAGCAAGATGCAGTCTCAGTCCTCCAGCCCACCATGAACAAACCCAGAAGACACTGAAAAGGAGAACACTGGAAATCACACAACTAAACTTTCTGAAATGATAGCAATTTAAGTAAAGAAACAACTCTGGGAAGATATAGAGGAAATCAGATCAAAGACAATCCCCACATAAAAAAAGAAATGACAAACATGAAAGAAACATTGAGTGTATCTAAAGAAGACCTAGATAAAAAAAAAAGCTACAGGAACATATGAAAATGATGGAAACCTTGAATGAACAACATGAGACATAATTAGAATACATGAAACAGATTCAAAGGGATATTCAGGAAATTAAAATTCCACTGAAAGCTGGCAAAACTACATGAATGAAGCTGAAAATAAGACTCTCAGATCTTGAAGACAGGATGCAAGCTTATGATCACAAAAGAATAGATCTCAAAAATATCATGGAATCAGGAAACAACAATTCAGTGGCTGCAAAGAGAAATAATATAATACTCATAGGTGTCAACAAAAAACCAGGGGCCAACACAAATGACATGACTTACTACAGAAATAATAGAAAATTTTCAAACATGGAAAAAGAGTCTGATATACACATAAGTGAGACATATAGAACTCCAACTACCCATACTCAAAATAAATTTTCACCCAGACATACAATAAATTCGGATATCAAAAATTCAGCACAATAACAGAATACTAAAAGCTATCAGAGATCACTACAAAGGAAAGGCCAGAGAATCACAGCATACTTCTCAACACAAAGCTTCAAGTCAAGAAGAGCTTGGAGTAAAGTATTTGAAGTCCTGAAAAACAACCTCTAACCCAGATTGATATCCCTGCAAAACTATCTTTGAAAACTGATGGAGAAATAAGATACTTCCATGAGAAAAAACAGCTGAAGAAATTCATGACCACCAAACCAACACTACAAAGAATGCTGAAAGATAATCTAGAAAGAGATAAAGATAACAATTCCAAGAACAACAGCATAAGGAAACCACTAAGCAGGACAAACACACAGAAAAACTAGAAAACCAACAACAGAAAGATAACATATCAGGGATAAGTTAGCACATATCAGTCATATCCATCAATATACATGGCCTCAACTCACCAATAAAAAGAAATACATTGGCAGAGCAGACTAAGAAACAAAATCCAACAATATACTGTATACAAGAAACACATTTAACTCAAAAGGAAATTTACAGACTAACAGTCAAAGGATAAAAAACAATGCTCCGTGTGACAGGAACCTAGCTATTCTGTTTGCTGACAATGTAAACTTCAAGAATGATCAAAAGAGATAAAGAAAGTCACTACATACTTGTTAGGGGAAAACTTCAAGAGGAAGAGATTACCACCAAATATGGGAGCACCCAATTATGTAAGACAAATCTTAGTAGACATGAAAAATCAAATAAATTCAGTTATAATGAGGGAACTTAACACACCACTGTCACAAAGAGAAACATCAACCAAACAAAAAAAATCAGCAAAGAAATAACAGAACTAAATCAAGCCTGTAACAAATGAACCTAGTAGATGTGTACTAAGTGTTCTACCCAAGATCAGAATACACATTTTTCTTAGCTGCACATGGCTCATTCTCTAAAACAGACCATATGCTAGCCCACAGAACATGCCTAAGTAAATGCAAAACAACCAAAATTATCCCATGCATATTATCTGACCACAGCGCAATAAAATTGGAAATTACCGATAAAAACACCCACAAACCCCATAAACAAAAGGAAATTAATTACTCTTCTCAACAACCAATGAGTCACAGAAGAAATTAAAGAAGAAATTAAACAATACCTACAACTGAATGAAAATGCAAATACAACTTACTAGAATCTGTGGAACCCAATGAAAGCAGAAACAAGGGGGGGAAATTTATAGCAATAAACTCCCACAGCAGGAAAATGGAATGAACACAAATAAACAACCTAATGCTGCACCTCAAACTTCTAGAAAAAAAAGAGCAAGTCAAGACCAAACCTCAAAGGAGGGTGAAAACAATAAAGATCAGAGTAGAAATTAATGTAATTGAAACTAAGAAAACAATACAAAGAATTAATGAACTGAAGAGCTGGTTCTTTGAGAGAATAAATAAAATTGATAAACTCCTAGGCAACCTTACCAAAAAGAAGAAAGCAAAAACTCAAATCCACACAACAGGAAATGAAAAGGGTGAACTCAATATAGACCCTGTGGAAATATAGATCATCAAAACCAACTTCAAAAACTTTTACTCTCATAGGTTTGATAACACAGAAGAAATGGACACATTCCTATAATCAGGTCCCCCAAATTCAAAGATTCAATCCAAAAATGCACATCTGAGATGAATACTTATTTCTCAGATGAAGAAATACAAATGGCAAATAAATATATGAAAAAGTGGTCAGCAACATTGGCTATTTGAGAAATGCAAATTGAAACAACACTGAGACTGTCTCATTCCAGAAAGAATGGTTAAGATCAAGAAATCAACCAATAACAAGTGCTGGAGAGGCTCTGGGGAAAAACGAACACTTCTGCACTGTTGGTAGGAGTGTAGACTGATGCAACCACTGTGGAAATCAATGTGGTGATTCCTCAAAAAGCTAGGATTATAGATCCCATTTGACCCAGCTATCCTGCTTCTGTGCATTTTCCCAGAACTGAAAACATATCACAGTGATACATGTGCACTCATGTTTATAGCAGCACAGTTTGTAATAGCCAAGTGAAACAAACCAAGTGCCCATCAATCAAGGAATGGGTAAAAAAGATGTATTTTTATATAATGGAGTACTACTTAGCTATAAAGATTGCATTGAGGCTTTTCTAATAGGCAAATGGACGTGACTTGAGACCATACTCGTGATATAAATCAGACTCACACGTGTAAATACCGTGATGTCTCCCTAGTGTAAGAAATTGAAAAAGCAAATAAGATCTAAAATCTACAATACTTTGTAAGAGTAAGAAACTGCTCAAAGAGGAAAAGTAACTGGGATAGGGGAAAGGAGGAAAAAAGGAAGGGAAAAGGAAAAAGACATAAATTTGTATATGTGTGTGTGTGTATATATGGCATTAGTAATATAGTCATTTTAGCTATCTTTATATATATATACACACACACACATATATATACACACACACAAGATAGCTAAAATGACTATATTATTAATTCTATTATTTCTTAGAAAAGAACAATTAATATTCATATGATTAGACCAATATCACACGTCTATATCTGATAATCTAAGCAACCCTTATGAAGGTAATAATATGCAATATTAAATTGAATTCCTATCATCTTGTTTTGAAAACCTATACTGTTACTGTTTTGGGTTTGTTGTTGTTCATCTCTTTTGCTTTTTGTTTTTCTTTTCTGTTTCTTCTTTTAAATAAAAAAATGGGTTTAGAACTGCCCTGAAATGTAAAAGACTGCCATTTAAAACTTCCATACATGTGTGTCTCACTCATCCTCAGATGAGTCTTATTAATCAAGTAATTATGATCTATATAGAGCTACCACTTTTTTAAAATGTTGTTTAAAACAGGGTACTGGTTCAGATCAACCACAGAGAATTAACTAACAACTTACCTTTAGAATAAAGTATTCTAAAAGATATAATGTATTCACAAAGGCTTATTTTTCACGTCTGGTAATTTCATTTATCACGGCAAAGTAATTCTTTATTTGACTCTATCTCACATAGTCACTCAGTGAACCAAAACCAGCTCTCATTTAAAAGCAAGAATCTTTTTTGGCAGGTTCATTTAATGCAGCTTCAGTATTACACACCTTACATTTGAAGCCATGAAATTGTCTTTCTTATCTTCTATCCCTTAAGTATCTGGTAATAAGACAATGAGAGTCAATGAGTAAATATGACCTCAAATAAAAATATTTATATACAAAGTTTCTGAAAGATCTTCTCAATGACCGACAATCCAAGGCATATGACAGCTGTAAGTAATTATGGGTCTTTTATCATAACAGAATTCTAGAATCATGTATCTGGAGTTAATTAGCTCACTATACAGAGACAATGAGAAAAGGAAATTTAGATATATAACTTGAAAATAGCCTTTAACAATTTTCCTATGTATTTGCAGTCTCTTGGTTTTTGCTGGTTTTATGTTTTTGCTTTTCGTTCTCAGTAGTGTGAGGATCAAACCCAGAGCCTTGTGTGTTATCATAGCAAGCACTCCACCACTGAGCTACATCCCCAGTTCCCTTGTCTCCTGCTGTTAATCTTAAAAATTCAGATCACATTTTGCATTAGATTTTATAAAACAACTCGCATCTGTTAAAATACTAAACTGTGCCCATTTACCCAAGTCTTCTGAACACAACTGACACTCCCACACAAACTCCACGTTCTAGTTCGGGAGGCAGGATGAAAGAGTTCTTTTTTATCGGTACCGGGGATCGAACTCACGACTCCCTGCTTCCAAGGCAGGCGCTTATGCCGCTGAGCTAAATCCCCAGCCCCAAAACCAAGTTTCTTAATACCTCAACCTTGACGAGCTACTCTGAAATTGCTTTTTTATCTTGTGGTGAGAGAGCATAGATGTAACGTGAATCCACTTAATCCAAGCTAACACTAAGGGAAATCTTGAATACAAGACAGAGAGCACATTATTTACATGAACACAAAACACCATATTTCAGTTAAGACATTTCCAAATTTTATGATTATGTTGGTAGAGTTCAAGCGGAACAAGTTAAAAAAAATTTCTAACTATCAAAACTTTACAACTGAATACAGCACACATTACTTGAAAGGCTAAGGAATTAGACTATGTATCTATCTTTCTGAATACTACAATTTAGTAAACTTTTCAAACAATTCATAACAATTGTAAAACTTCCATTACTATTAAATAGATTTCAGAATCACAGCAGCATTTATATTCTGCAAGTACCAATTAAAGCTTCTATAATGTAAACATTTTAAAAATGAAAGTATTTTCCAGAGGACAAAACTTCTAAAATTTTCTCTTAGAAATACTATTTTCTTCATAGCATGTTTTTGAATTAATATTTTTCCTTCTATTTAATTATAAGAAACAAAAGGGGATGATAATACAGTATCTACTTGATAGTAACATTCAAAACACTGAAGATAGCTATATGGTATTAAAAATAAACACCTATATAGTATTTTACAATATAAAATAATTTTATACTATAAAAAAAGTTTAATTCCTACATTAAGTACTTCTGCTTGCTCATATCTTAGAATTTTAAACAGTATCATTATGTACTAGGATATTTGTATCCTGCTTACCTTCTTTTTAAAATACTGTCTGGCATAACTCTTCACTTGTAAAACAGTGCGACTTCCCATTAGCTTTGCAATTTTGGTCCACCGTCGACCAAATTTAGTCTGTTATTAAAGTGAAATAAATAACTTTTGATTAGCTTACTTTAACTAATGTTTTAAAAGCAAATGCCACATTAAAAAACTCAAAACTTATAACATCTAAGTTTAAGATCCATTACCTAACTATATGAATTCTTACTGTAATTATGATGTTCCACAGCTGAACTATGTTCTTAAAAAAATATGTGCCCAAAGGCAGGCTACATTTTCCATTATAGGATCAAGTGAACCTATTCTGCATAAATTACAAGATCTTTTTGTGCCCAAATTCCATATTTCTGTATGTCTAATATGTGTCCCGTATCAGATGCTTTCATTCCTATAATGGTATTAGTCAAATGACTTCATTTGCCTTTCCTCTCCAACCCTTCGGCTTTCACACACTGAGCTACATCCACAGCCCTTTTTCAGTTTTTGATACAAGATCTAAGTCATTAAGTTGCTCAGCCTGTGTTCCAAATTGTGCTCTTTCTACCTCAGTCTCTCACTGCTGGGCTTACAGGCACCATCATGCTTGGCTCACATGGGCAATTTCTTAAAATTCAGAAGTATTTCTGGGAAGATTATTAGCAAGAATTAATTATTTTTAAAACCAGTAAGTAGCTGAGGCTAACTCAGTGAAGATTCACTTCTATTTTCAATAAGTAACTTGGTAATGTCAATACTTCTGGAGATACGAGCACTGGGTAAAGTATAAATATTTGGGAGAGTGACGACTCAGAAAACTGAGGAGGGGACACTAACAAGGGCAAAGAAAGTATTGCCAATTTCAAAATGAAAAAGGCAGACCTATGTGAGAGAAAAGGAAGGAAATATCTTCCTTTACCATTTAGAATCATACGATTTCTTTCTCTCAAGCCCCAAAGAATTCACTGTAAGTAATCTGTGTCAATGGGTTAAAAAAGTGGGGATACAACCAGTAACTCCATGGAATATTAAAAATATTCCTAAATATTGTGTTAAACAATTTCTTCGTATTGAGTATTTTCAGAATACAAACTAGTGTACATATCTTTCCGTAATACAACTGCACATTTAAACAGATTTCAATGGAACAGTCATGGAACAGAAATATTCTGGTCTTCAAATAAACACACTAAAAAGTGTGGACTGTGTACACAATGCCAAAGCGTTGAAAAAAAAAATCCTCAGTTGATCACCTACTTTCAAGCATACAGGGTTTTTTTTGGGGGGGAGGGCTTTGTTTTAAGGAAACATCAGACAAATAGTTTGCCTTTTCACCTAGACAGTGGTGTCATGTATATAGATATAGCTCAATTTCTTGGATTTCATCAGTACCAAAAAGTGTGATAATAACCAAATATCAGTACAAATCTATTTTAGTACCTTAGACCTAACTTAAAAGGAACTGTCTTGTATTATACTTTTATTACTCTACAGAAAAACTAATTATACTTATGTTATTATAAATATAATTAAAAATTCTGGTTGCTGGGAGCTGGGGATTTAGCTCAGCGGCATAAGCGCCTGCCTTGCAAGCAGGCAGTCTTGAGTTCAATCCCCGGTACCGATAAAAACGAAAAAGACAAAAAAAAAAAAAAAAAAAAAAAAAAAAAAAAAATTTCTGGTTGCTACAAGTTAACCTTATAACTCTATCAGTATTTGCTTCTAGAACCATTTTTACTATAAATTAAAAATTGCTCTATTTACCAGCCCTTGTTCAAACAGCTCTTTTTCTTCTATCGTCCACTTTATGGAGTAACCTGCTGGTTTTGTAGGAGACTGGACCCTGAAGGGGAAAAAGAGGAATTGCACACAAAATTTTCTGAAATGGAACATTCCATATTTATGCAGCTAAAGGTTACACATAGGCATTAGCAGCTCAATACTTTTGAGTCTAAAAATTAAAAAAAAAAAAAAAAAAAAAGCTACAGCCACTATCTGAGGGGAGAAATTCATCCTATTAGGTATCCCCATTCACGATGAGCGTCCCAAAACACATCATCTTCAGGGCTGACTGAGAATAACATTAAAAGACATTAACGGAAGCCAGTATGACATACAAATACAGAGCCCCACTTCGACTGAACACAACGCAGCATGTGTAACAAACTCTCAAATTCTCAAAGGTGTGTAAGAGCTTCATATATTTCCAGATATATCTCTTTCGCTCTCATTTATAAATACTACGCCAGAAAAGTAACAAAACTATGATGTTAGACGTACTGTTAAAAAACTCCGTAACTTAAGAAATTTAACATACCAATGAAGCTAATTTAATTCAGCTATCAATCTTTCAATTAACTCCACTTTATCACTGTTCAATATACAAAACCAAGTAATGTTCACTGCTCATGGACAACTACAAATATGTAAGCTCACCCTTCAACACGCAAGTTTAAAAACAATAAATAATGTTAGTGTTTTTTTAATCTTGGGGAAAGGCAAGCACTCATTTAACAATCAAGCTCTGTACCTAGAAATAGGCTATTATGTAAATTAGTCACTGAATGAGGAACTGTATATAGAATGCACACTGTAATAATCAAAACAAAGAAATAATAAAAGGAAACTCCAATTAAAAGACTGCTTTTATTTGTATAACTCTTACATGTAGAACTGTGCTGTACAACATAAAACTACAGTACTGTGCTGTATAGCACAATCAGCAAAAAACACAGTACAGTATAAAGAAGGAGCACTCTACAAAAAGAAGTCACAGAGGCTCCTTAAACAAGATGTGCAGACCTGTACAAAAAGAAATGATGGGATGTAAGTCTGAGTGGCAGGTTTTAATTCTAATCAGCATGGCATGCCTCAGGCAACTGATGACTATCTGTAGTTAATTTGTCTAGATAGTTCTTGAAAGCCAAATTCAAATTATTTTTGTTCAAAATAATTTAAAATTAGCTGACCCAGCAATAAAAAACATGTCAAATCATACTATACTGGACAGCTTCTTAAAACTTTCCCTCTAAGATCTCCAGGAAGCCATCTTTTCCATAATGCTGTAAACTGCGTAAACAGCATTATACCAAATCCTGGCAAATAAGTGACAATGTAAAAATTAGACTTCTCACATTCCAACATCTATACAAAGATCTTTGTTTTTATATTTTATTTATTTTTTAATTAAGATGGCTTTTTCTTCAGGCCAATTATAATGTTAAAAAATACTCAGATAATTCTTAATCAATCAAAAAAGTTTAAAAAACATAAAAACCGAAGTACAGGATTTCTGTATTATGCATATTGTACCACATGAAAAAATAGGACACTTGTAAAGAAGTTTTAAAAGTGAAATCAGATTTTTAATGGTGTAAATTGATATTACCTGTTCAGGTATTTTTTATCATCCTTTTGATCACGCCAGAATTTTCCTGGAAGAGATTTTTTAGATAAATAATATCTGTGTAATTATTAAGGAAACCTTTAAAAATTATACTAAAGTCATATAATTCTTTTGTGACATAAACATTAAAGATTCATCAAAGTCACACTTGTGAATTCAAACAAAAGCAATTCCTTTCAAAGTCCTTATCACATGTGCAAAAATTATGACAAAAATATTTATACCTATTTATTTCACAGGGCTGCTATATGGATAAACACACGTAAAGTCCCACAACACAATACCTGCGTAAAATTTGTGCTATATAAACGTAGTTTCTCCTACCTTCTTATTAGAAGTGACTGAGAAGAAATAGCTCAGTATTTAACACACTGACAATAGGGTTGTAATTCTTAAGTTTTGCTACTGGGTGGCTATCATTTGAATTTGATTATTCCTGCTGGCTTGAACCATCAGTGGTACATGCACGACTGCCTGACTGGGTAACTTGTACACCTTCTCAGGGAGTCTTGATTATAGTAATATAAAGAAATGCGCTGACTGCGCAGACCAGATATCATATTAGTTTCTTAAGGAAAACATTAAAATGATATAAAAAAATTTTAATACAGGTAATTTGTGGTGCAGCAGTTGTAAATGCACATTATATTAAATAGCAATGGGTTATGTACAAGATTTTCATGTGAAAATTTAGATAGTTATTGATAAATTATTCATGAATATAGAATTCAATTTAGCAAAATAAATTTGATATTGTAATGATTTTTAATTGGTATAGTTTTAGTATTTATATTTGGGCAGTAATTATTCAAATTCAAAAAACCAACTAGAGTTGTTCCTTTTATAGACTTTTCATTAATTTTTTTAGTAAAAAGACCAATGAAGGTGATTAGATACATTTGTAACACCAGTGGGACAGTCACGCACATGGCACTGATGGCATAAGTCGGCAGGAATATGCTAAATCTCTCTTTTCTTGAAATATACAAGGGACATCAAAGAGGAATCTGATTGGTTGTCTGAGCTAATTTGGGATATTTGTTTCATTATTTCTAAAGATAACAAAGCAGAGTTCTGAAATCTCTGCACTATTAAAAATAAAGAACGCTTAGATCAAATCTACCAAGGAGCTCACTTTCAAGGTATGTGAAACTAGTCTACTGCAATACTAAAGATGGTCTTCACTTAACAAGTATTTACTGACTCTATACTGTGCACATATCAGGTTTTATGCTAGGTACTAAATAGAACAAAAATATAAACACACTATACTCACGATGCCTGTCCTCAACCTGTAACCCATATTAGTTTCCGTATCTGGAGAGGAATAGTGACAGGTTTAAATGTTCATTAATGTAACTTAGAATTGCACTGTCCAATTAGTGACCACCAATCCTGGCCACACTGTGACTTCTGAGCACTTGAAAACAGCAAGAACTGAAGTGTAATCTAAAAATAAAACACACACTGGATTTTGGGGGGGGGATCTTTTTGAGACAGGGTTTCGCTATGCAGTTCAGACTAGCTTGAGCTAGCTCACTTTGTAGCTCAGGATGATCTCGTACTCGAAAAGATCCTCTTTCCTCAGCTTCCCAAATGCTGGGATTACAGGTATGCACCACCAGGGCTGGCTATATATACTGATTTAAGACTTACCACAAAACAAATAATGAAAATTAACATCATTAATATTTCACATAAATTGAAAATAGTCTTTTTTTTTTTTTTTTTTTTTTTTGAGTTAGGGTTTCTCTCTGTAATTCATACTAACCTTGAACTCACTACATAGCTCAGGCTGGCCTCAAACTCAAGGAGATCCTCCTGCCTCAGGCTTTCAAGTGCTGGGATTAGAAGCTTTAACTTTAATGTAAGTACTTTAACTTACATTATTAAAATTAAATAAAGTATATTAATAAAATCAATTCCATCTGCTCTGTACCTCTCATTGAAAAGCAGTAGTACAGGCTGTAACTCCAATGTCAAGGGACAGTTAGTGAATAGGAAAGCCTAAGAGGTAACTAAAGGTACAGACACACATAAAGGTCAACACAGTAAGAAATGAAAACAGAAGAAAAACAAATAAGTTCCTTTTATTAAATAGTGGACAGAAAGCCAAGAAATGCAAATAAGAGTTAAAAATAAACCAATATTTATTAGACTATTATTTAACCTGTGTAATTCATAAAATCACAAGTTGTTTTGTTCAATTATCTCATTTTTACATGTAAGAACAGAGATGAAAGAAATGAAGAAACTAGAGGCTGGACCATGTTGACAATAATCTAAAACTTGTGAGGAAAAACTATCCTACAGAATTTACTTTGTGCTTTTAACTTAGGGTTCTTTCTACAGAAACAAACCCACAAATCACAAGGTAAAAAAAATCAGAATTTTTATATAATCTAATTCTGAACCTTGGGTCAAATACATATCTCTGAGTTTCAACTTTAAAAATGAAAGCTTCGATTTAAGTTTCTGATTTAAATATTTTATAATTCTACTCCTAGTCACATAAAGAGTTCAGTGATGACTAACTGAGAAATGTGAGTCAGAGCTCAGACTCAGTGGTAAAAAAGAGAACCCAAGAAATGCTTTTTGCATAGGTAGGTGACATATTACACTGCAGCCAGCAGTAGCCAAATAATACCAATTAAATGATTATACTGGCCTCTTCTGTAATTTTTGCACTGAGAGATTTTCACCCTGACATTTATTTTTTCCATTTTTTAATGGTATATATTTGCCATAACAATCACACTCACCATAGGGAATATGTACCTGTACATCATGTATCATAGTTTTACTTTTTTTCCCATTTCTCCCTTCAATCCTCCTTCCTCTCCCTACTAACAAAAGCTTGGGTTTCCACTTTTCCCATTCTTTTTTTAAAAATCTTTTCCCCTTCCTTCCCTCCCCTCTCCCTTGTTGCCCTTTCCATTTGAATATATTTTTCCTACTTTCCAGCATCTATCTCCATTTTGCTCCTTATTTATCCTTAAGGTTCCTTACACAAGAAAAACAATGTGACACTTAAATTTGTGTGTCTTACAAATTTCACTAAAATTATTAATCCTGAAATTTTTACTTTCCTCATAATTAAAGGATACTCTTCTTCCAATAACATTTTCTCAATGACAGCTCTGTTCTCATCACTGATGGTGTTATCTAGAGTCCAAGGCTATTAAGAAATGAATATACATATAATTACTTTCTGTTAAATTAAAATAAAACACAATACTATGATTACAAATAAGTACAGGTACTATTTATTGAGCACACAAACATAGTTTTGATTCTCATGGTAACACCATGAGGCAGGTGGTAACACTTCAGAAATGTACCTATAGCACTACTTGTAGTTCAAGTAGAAGAGATTTTACATCCAATTGTTAGATTCCAAGGTTTATGATTCCATTCATGATGGTAAAAACGACTATCATGTATGAGGAATTATTAGACTGCATGCATTTGCTAAGCAAACTATTTCCAAAATTCCCAACTGGTTTTTCTCTCAGCCATAATCCCCTGTGGATCATTTTCATTTTCAACTCTCAAAGAGGAAAACTCTCAGCTCATGTCTCTTCTCCAGGTTTCATACTGTTACACACAACTGCTCACTCAAAACTTCCACCTGGATATCTACGTGGCTTCTCAAATTTAACATATTCAAGAGTTCACCATCACGTATCTCAACCTGCCTCTTCTCTTACACTTCCAATCCTGTTAACGGCAGTGTAGACACTGTTACTCCATCTACAGACTAAAAATTCACTGCAGATTCATTTTCCCTCAACCTCTATGCCCAATCCACCAAGTATCTCTATCTCCAAAATATATTATGTCTCTCCACTCTATTTCTTCTGTTACTACCAAGGGCCAAATCACCTTCCTCAACTTTACTTAATCTTCCTTTGATGCCTCTACTGCTTCCCTCTAAGCTTCACTACAGCACTCAGAACAAATTTTATGAAAGATGGATTCATCTGCATAGAATCTATATTAAATGTTTGGATGTCTCATTTCATTTACAACAAAATTAAACCCTTTAGCATAATCTAACTCCCAAAATCCCGTACGTTAGAGCTCTCTCCTGTATTTCGAGCCCTCGTCATTTACTGTCAAAATATTATAGGTATGGAATAGATCTCTTTCCAACTACACTTTTTACATTAGCTAGAATTCTTTACTCTTCATCTACTTGTTCTCATTATTTTTCAAGTTAAATGTTGCCTTAGAGCTTTCTTCACTGACAAGTTGATCACAAGTAGGTTCCCTACCTAATACTCCCAGTGAACACTGATTTGCTTATTTCCTTCATAATCCACAACTGTTTGTCTATTTATTTATTCTCTGATTCCCCTCTGGAATACAAGCTCTTTCAGAGCAAGCTCACATCTGTCACGATTATAGCTGTATTCCCCAAAACTGGTCTCAGGTCTGGCACACAGTGAGTAATTCTGTGATAATCCTATTTTTTACTTGAAGAAATCAAGTTTCACAAAAGTGATAGAACATAGTTTATACCTAGATATAGTTGCTTTTCAACAAGTTATTTTTCAAAGTCAAAAGAAAAGAGGTTTCTTCTATTTTTAAAGTCCAAAAAATATTTCTACCTTATTATTTCTGTGACTTTTGAGAACTAGCATTCAGTTAAAAACAAAGAAGAGGCACAATAAGCAATCAATTTAAGTCAGTGGACATTTTATAAAATACTTACAATAAGGCCATTCACATTTCTCCATGATGAATCAAGATAATGATCTTGTTGTAGAGCTGATGCTCCATTTTCATCACTTCTGTAATAATTAAGAAAACGCATATAAAAATGTTATTACATGAGTCAGTGGCTATAATGCACATGGACAGTGGCTGGCAGATTGCTAGTATTAAGCAAAAAGTTCCGTTTTTCCCATAACAAACAGACTTAACAAAGAGATGGCTCCTCTACCTTTGAGTCCTGAGAAAAATAATCAAATGTAACAACTACAGTGTGTTCTGTGGCCATGAAACAACACTTTAGTTTTGATGAATATCCTTATGAATATAAAAACTCTGCAATTCAATCTTTTAGCTGTATCTAAACCATAAAAAACTATTACCTATAGCACCACCCTTAAAACAAAGACAAAAAATTTAGGTGAAAGAACCAAATCCGAAACTGACATAACTTGAAAAAGTCTTCTGAAGGATTTCTTTGTACTCAGAGGATCAAACTTTTGTTATTCCTCTCACTTCTTTCAATAAACCAATAAGCCACAATGTGTGCCTTATGCATTCAGGGATCCAAACTCTGATATAATTAAATCCAATATTTTGGTTCTGTACCTTATACCTTACAGCTTCCTAGTTACAGACTTTTCCCAGGCCTCACCTAATAAGAACTTTGTATTGCTAATAGTGCAAAAACCTACCAACAGATTCATACATTTGCATCTTTAACTAGCCCCATAGTAGCTACAGTAATCATGGGACTATTACAGCTTACACCTAGATGTCCCTCCAAAGTCTCACCCGGTCACAGGTGGGGCTTTTCAGAATTCTGGATCTAGGGTGTGTGAAGGAATACAGGATTACTGAATTAGTCCACTGATGAGTTTAGCATAGTTCTGGATGTGGACAACAGGAAGGCATTCAATAAATATTACTGGCACACCGCAGAGGCAGGCAGCCTGGAAGAGATAACAGGGAGGGGAGGACTGCTACTGCTTTTGCTGCTGTTTTCTTCACTATTTGGCTGTTGCGCTGACTTCTGCCTTCCATAAACTGTTTCTGCTTGCCAAGGCCTCTCCGCCATGTCACCTTGGTTTACAGCCAGCCAACTCTGGCCTGAAACTTCTTCAAATTGTGAGCCAAAATAAACCTTCTCTTATTTAACTTTAAGGGTTTGGTATTCTGTCTCACCAGTTAGAAAAGTAACTAAGATTGGGACTATCATTCTCTACAATAAATTAAAAGCAGTAGCTTCCATCAACTTTCAACAGCAGGTTTAAACTCAAGAGTCAACACAGATTTGGGAGAGACTAAAGGATTCTGAGACTTTCATCAGCAGAACAAACTGTTCACTCAAATAACTTGCATCGGCCATGAGGGCAGGAGGTGGGACTCCTACCCTCAAGTTTACTGCAGAAATTTTTTTTCATAGCATTCCTTAATAGGTTTAGCAATGTGTATACGTATGGATAGCTACCTGAATTTCCACAGACATCACAAATTAACATGTTTACAGCTAAAATTACCTTTCATCCCAAATCTGCTACTCTCAATGGCAGCCATTCCACTTAGCCCTTAAATCTCAGTTTCAGACCTTATAGTTTTCCTGGTGGACTGTAAGAGACAAAGCTGACAAGCCATTCATCTTCTCTCCTTTGTTTTTCTCCACTTTACCCCACCTGTCAGGTATGTAAAGTTTACTGTCTCATCCAACAAGAATATATGCTCTGGGTCCAGGGAGTTGGCTTTTTCACTTCTTACACTGGTATTTATTGAATGACTGAATAATAATGTAGTTGAGACAAGGGCCACACAGGTCTCTAGTAGTTACAGAACAAAAATATTACCACAAAACCAACTGGGGATTGAATGGAGTAGTCAATTTGGATGTAAGAAAGATACTCTAACCTCAGAAAATAAAGGGGCCCAAAGTGACAATGAGCAATAAAGAGGAAGTGAGCTTAAAAATAATACTCTGGCTGGCAGAAATTTTGCTGTAAACAACAATCAGTGTGAAAAGAGTTAATACTTTTGAAAGGATAATTATACAAAATGAACAGGCCCCAACAAATGATATGATGGGGGAGTGGAAAGAGATCAGGAAAAGGGATGAAGTTTATGTCTTGAGTGATTGGTGGATTTTTTTAAGAAAGAGATTTAATTTGGCTCACAGATCTGTGGGTGTTGGTGTCACTTGCTTAACTGGGACAATGGAGAATCAGCTTTCATGGGAAAATTTTTATGATATGAGGTATTTGCGGGACATTGAATTGCCGACAGATTCAGAGAGTTGGGTAAATTAATCAGAAGCTCAAGATAAAGATCTGAGTTAGTGAAAGACTTGCAAATATCAGCATGTTTTAGGCTGCACTAATGAAACTGCCATTTTTGTAGGTCAAATATGTTACAACATTGGCAAAATTTTTTATGGCTCAACCTAAGTCTTGAAATATCATCAGGAACTGTGGGGGTCAGTGAGAAGGCAGGTGACAAAATCCCTTCAAATGTCAAGAATAAGAATAAGAAAAAGAAGACAAATGCTATCTTTAAGTTCTATACCTAGGCTTAGCAAATGTTCAAAGGATTGTGTTTTAAATTAATCATCAAAGGTTTTTCATATACTACCATCAGCTGTTCACCACATACTGTATGTATATGTGTATGTCTCAAGGACATCATTCACTGAGGTCAACGATACTCTTTTGAACCAATAACCTTTAATCTTGCTTGTGTGCCACTAAGATTATACACTATCATTAAAGTTCAAGAAAACGAGCAGAAAGAGAAAAGGAGAAAAATTCAATGAGAAATTAAAATAAGCCTATGTACGAGGCATGCTGCCTACGTCCTCGGATGATGGCATTTCCAAAGCTAATTCATTTCTTTCTGGTCTATGGGTAAGTTTCCTACCCCCTTAAATCAAGCAATCAAAATCCCCTGACCAAGCCTGAAACACTACACAACATGAACAAGCATTATTAAAGGCTCTCACATTTAAGCTGCACAGCTCTGCCTAAAAACTTGAGGGAAAATGATTACATGAGTTTACCCCTTGTATTTTCAGAATGCTTTATTTGGCGTTCGCCACTTTTAAATTCCCTGTTACTTAGAGCCTCTTAGGTGGGGCTGAGGCTCTTCTCAAGAGCCCCTGGTATCACGTTCGACTACACGGAACTGTCACTGTAGGGGTAGGGTAAAAGAAAGGTCTAATATCGGTAACTTCATATGGTTCAATGTAGTCAGCGTTCTAGTAAAATTATGACAAAGTTTTAAGTAACAAAGCTGGCTGCATTTTGAACTCAGATCTTCTGATTCCCTCCCAGTTTAAGCCTCTTCCACTACTGCAGTCACATTTCTTACTTGGGACTAGAAGGCATCAAAGGAGATTATAATTTCAACTCCCTCTCCTGTTCTGCAGGAATACGGATCAAATAAATTCTCACTCCTCATACTGTCCTTGAGGATAAATCTACAAAGCATCCACGAAATGCTAAACTGCGTTTCACCATTCTTTCCTTTGATGTTCACATCAACCCTGTGAGTACATGATTCTGAGCGTCCGACAAATTAAGCGTCTTGCACAGGTTACGCTGCTAGTAACGGAGGACCAGCAATTGGAGAAGAAAATTCAGAATGGCCCAACACGGAAACCTGGCCCCTTTCCTTTGAGGTAAACTGCTCCTTCCGAAAAACACCCTTAACTATCGCTGTGGAGAAGGGGTGACGCGACACGTTCGAGGTCGCGCGGCCAGCCAAAGATGAAGGAGATTCTCCAAGGCAGCCCGCGAGGCACGCTTGCTCCACTTCAAGCTGGCTCTGGGAAGATTCTGAAGGAATTGCTGGCGCAAGGGCAATGCACCGAGAGAAGGCAGCCCACTGTGGTAAGAGAGGAGTGCGGACACCCGGCGGTTCCGGCAAGCGCGAGCCCACAGCGCGAGGACTTCCGGGACTGCGGGGAGCGGGCCCGGCACACAGCCTTCTGCTCCCTGGGCCCTCCACGGGCCCGCCTCCTATCCCTGGCCTTGGTCTCGCATCCGCGACCCTCCCAGTCTGGCGACACCCCGTCGCTACGTCTCACCCCGGCTGTGCCGCCGCTGCCAACACCACGTCCCCTTCGATATCCACATCCGTATCTTCTGCCGCCATGATAGCACCTGACCCTGTCTGCCCTCCCTTGAGATCCCGCGAGATGTTGCGGTACGGGGCGGGGCTCCCACAGGAAGAGCCGGAAGTGCCCGGCGTCAGGCTTTTCTGGGCGGTGTCCCTGGCTTTTTCCACTGCTGTGTAAAATGGGGTTAGCCGCACATATCCTAGATTGATAAACAAAGCCAAAACTGCTGTGTGAACCCTGTAAATGTCAGCCAGAAAGGATCGTTATCTTTAAGTCTTTCTCTAAAGAAAGGGTCGTTTACTGCTTATGTAGAGTGCGAAACGACTTATATTTCAACAGTCAAGGAACATATATCTTATCGTTTGATTTTTACACAAATTTTTATGATTTAAAATCACTCATGGCCACCCTTACACTCACCCTCTAAGATAGGCGGGGTTGATGGCACATATGGGGAAACAGAGGCTCAGAAAGTTGACAGGCTTGTCATGAATCCTCATCTGGACCAGCAGTTTACATATCAAAAACTAAAACAACAGCGTCCTAAAATATTCAAATGCTATCCTAATTAGGTTATACAGTCTAGTCTTTTGCATACCCTTCTCCCTGCATATTACAGAGGTGCTTGTTCTCTACCTGGCCAGCTCAACACACATTGCTCACATAGTTCCCACCATCCTCACTGTCACTCATCCTCAACTCCCTTCTTCATGAGATTAATAAATCCTGGGATAGACCTTGAATCAAGGCCTTTGTTCCATGAATGCTCACCTGGACCAAACTCAGAACCCCTTGACTGCCCATAACAATGAAATGTCTTAGTGTCTTTATTCTCACCATGCACTGCAGGTGATAGACTAAAATTAATTTGCTGGGATTCCAATAATGTATCAATGGAAATACAAATGCAACTTTCCAGACTCTGAGGTAGACACAGAAAAAGAGAGTATAATATTTGGATTATGAGTATTTTAAGGAATTACAATGTTTGATATTTGGATTATGATACCTAGGAATCTGTCCATTTCTTATGAGTTTTCCATCTTATTAGAGTACAGGTTTGTAAAGTAGGTACTGATGGTCTTCTGGATTTTTAAAAGGTTGAAGTTCAACATTAGGTTATTTGAGTGCACTCTCTTTTCTGATGTGAGATTTTGCCGTTTTAAATTTCCCTGATAGTTCTGCTTTTATTGCATCCTATAAATTCTGGTATATTGTATCTGCAATATTATTTAGTTGTAGAAAATGTTTAGTTCTCTGTCTGTCTCTGTCTCTCTCTCTCTCTCTCTCTCTCTCTCTCTCTCTCTCTCTCTCTGTTACTGCTAATTGAATTCAGGACCTTGTGCTTGCCAGTCAGGCACTTACGCTGCTGAGTTACATGACTTATTGTTGTTCAAGAGGTTATTATTTAATTTCTATGTGTTTATTTAGTTTCTTTGGTTATTTATCTCCAGTTTCATATTTATTCCAGTTTAATTGTACACTTCAATAATATGCATGGGATAATTTTATTCATTTGCATTACTATCAAGCATGTTTTCTGAGCTAGGAGATGGTTAGTTTTGGAGAACATCTTGTGTGCTGCTGAGAAGAATATGTAATTTGTTGTTTTGGGGTGGAGCACTCTGTAGATTTCTATTAAGTCCATTTGTTCAAAGGTTTGGTTCAGCTCTGATATTTTTGTATTAATTTTTTGTTCGGTTGATCTATTTGTGACAGTGAGATATGGAAGTTCCCCATTACAATCATATTAGTGTTTGTCTGATTTTTCATATCCATTAGTGTTCGTTTTATATAGTTGTTTGTGCCAGTGTGTGGTGCATATATATTTGTGGTTGTTATCGCTTCCTCTTGGATTGTTCCTTTAACACTCATGTAGTGACCTTCTTGGTCTCTTCTGATCAGTCTTTGGTTGAAATTCACTTAGTCTGCAAAGAGAGTAGCTACCCATATTTTCTTCCAGGCCTCTGTCAAATGGAATATTGTTTTCCATCTTTTCACTTTCAGTCTAGGAATTTCTTTTTGAGTTAAATGGGTTCTTTATATTTAGCATATTGTTGGATGTTGTTTCCTGATCCATCCTGCCAATCTGTTTTTCTTTACTAATGTAAATTTACTAATTTACTAACGTAAATTGAGGTAATTCCCATTGATGACTATAATGCATAGATATTGACCTACCCTTGTCATATTATTTTCCTGATGTTAATTCCCTTTCTTTCCCTTCTATTTAATTGCTTGTCTTGTCCAGTGGATTCATTCTGCTGGGATTCTTGGAATTGTTGTCATCTTTGTCTTTTTCTAGAATATCCTTCAGAACTTTTTATGTTTGTTTTGGTTTGGTTTGGGTATTTTTGTGTGTGTGTGCCAGGGATCAAACTCTCGACCTTGCACTTGCCAAGTAGGCACTTAAACCACTGAGCTAAAACCCTGGCCGGGCTTATTTTCTTTTAGAACTTGAAATACTTCAAGCTCTCCTTGACTTAAAGGTTTGTTTGAGAAGTCTAATATGATTCTGATGGGTTTTCCTTTACAGGTGGTTTATTTATTTTAATAGTGAGTTCTTTAGTTCAATTTTTGGAATCTTGATTATTGTATGCCTTGGTGTGGTTTCTTTTCTGATCATCGCTTTTTAGTGTTCCATATGCATGTCTTAGTTACATTTCTCATTGCTAAGACAAAACCCAACATCTAAGTTAAAAAATAAAATTCTTATTTTGGCTCACAGTTTCTGGAAGTTTCAGTCCATAGTCACTGGCTTCAGTGCAGGGTGGATGGTAGAGAGGTGCCCAGAGAAGAAATAGTCCATGTCAAAGCAGGACAGGATAAGGCAGCAAGGCAGCAAAGTAGCCAGCAATGCAGTAGAAGCAGCAACAGCAAGCAACAGCATTTGCCCTCTTCTCATTCTTTATATTCTGTTCAGGCTACCCACTTTAGAATGGGTGCTACTCACAACCAGGATAGAGCATCTGTAATCCCAGTTTTTGCTGGGGATATAGCTCAGCAGCATAAGCACCCTCCTGACAAATGCAAGGTCCTGAGTTTGATTCCTAGTATCAAAATAAATAAATAGATAAATCCCAGGTTTGTACCTTCAATCCCAGCATCATACGCCCTAGGTCCAACCACTTCCGAAAAGCCCCTCCTATGACCACATGAGATTTTGGATGAACATCTAGATACAGGACATAACAATGCCCCTTTTATCTGTATGTAAGATTCTTTTTCCATGCTTGGAAAGTTTTCTGCTATTACTTCCATGAACAAGTCTTTTTATGTTCTTTTGTTATATTCTGATTTCTCATTGATTCCAATTAACCTCACATTATTCTTCCTTGCATGGCCTACCAGCTGTTGGAACGAGTTTTTGTAGTTCCTCGGTTTTTGAGAATTTGGTGATTGTCAACCATAAGACTATATTCTCAATTTGATGTTCTATTTTCACATTGGTTGATTCTGCTGTATATACTTTCAACAGAATTTTTAATCTCTACTAAATGGCCAAAAATTGAAAGCCTTTACTTTAAAATCAGGTACAAGACAAGGATGTCCTTTATCACCACTCCTATTTAATATAGTACTGGAAGTACTAGCCAGAGCAATTAGGCAAGAAAGATAAATAAAAGGGGTAAAGATAGGAAAAAAAGAAGTTAAATTATCATTGTTTGCGGATGACATGATACTCTACATAGAAGACCCCCTAAACTCCATTGAAAGACTCTTAGATACAATAAATAAATTCAGTAATGTGGCTGGATACAAAATCAATACTCAGAAATCAATAGCATTCCTATACACGAACAAAACAAAATCACAGAGAGGGAAATAAGAGAAACTGCACTCTTCACATTAGCATGCAAAAAAATTGAAATATTTAAGAATTACTCTTACAAAAGAAGTGAAAGACTTATACAGTGAAAATTATAATACACTGAAAAAGGAAATTGAGGATGATCTCAGAAAATGGAAAGACATCCCTTGCTCATGGATAGGAAGAACAAACATTGTGAAGATGGCCATTCTCCCAAAACTGTTGTACAGATTCAATGCAATCCCAATAGAAATACCATCAACATACCTTATAGATCTAGAGAAATCACTCCTAAATTTCATCTGGAACCAGAAGAGACCTAGAATAGCAAAGGCAATTCTAAGCAGCAAAGACAAAGCAGGAGGCATCACAATCCCTGACTTGAAGTTATACTACAAAGCAACAGTAGTAAAATCAACATGGTATTGGAATCAAAACAGAGCCAAAGATCAATGGAATAGATTAGAAGATACAACCACAACTACGAACACACTCAACCACCTTATCTTTGATAAAGGAGCCAAGCAGGTTCACTGGAAGAACGACAGTCTCTTTAATAAATGGTGCTGGAAAAACTGGCTCTCCATTGGCCGAAAACTAAAGCTAGACCCATGTCTATCACCATGTAGTAAATTAAAATCTAAATGGGTCAAAGATCTGAATATTAAAACAGAAACACTAAATCTATTGGAAGACAAATTGGGTAGAAACCTTGAAGACACAGGAGTAGGTAGAGAATTCATGAACAGGACTCAAACCGCACGGGAAATACTTCCCAGAATCAATAACTGGGACCACTTCTTATTAAAAAGTTTCTGCATGTCAAAAGAAATCTCCAGCATAGTGAAAAGAAAACCCACAAACTGGGAAAAGATTTTAGTGAACTCTCTCTCAGACAAGGGACTCTTGTCTAAAACATATAAAGAATTAAAAAAACTCAGACCTCCAAAATTCAAAGATCCAATCTAAAAATGGGCATCTGAGATGAATATGCACTTCTCAGATGAAGAAATACAAATGGCAAATAAATACATGACAAAATGTTCATCATCATTGGTCATTAGAGAAATGCAAATTAAAACCACACTGAGATACCATCTCACTCCTGAAAGAATGGCCAGGATCAAGAAAACCAACAACAACAAATGCTGGAGAGGATGTGGGGGAAAAAGGAACTCTCCTGCACTGTTGGTGGGAGTGTAGACTGGTACAGCCTTTGTGGAGGTCTGTCTGGAGATTTCTCAAAAAGTTGGGATTGGAAATCCCGTT